TCAATAGAAATGGTATGACGTTGGATTTTGTCTTCTTATCGTTCGTGCGTGAACTTGTATACATGCGAAATAGGTGGGATTTTTAATAAATTGCTGTTGATCTAGAACGTATGGAAAATATGAGACGAACATTTACCACAACATTTATGACCCATTTCTATCTCATTTTTCTGGATGACATACGATGAGAACAACAACTCAATATCCTCTTCATCACAGTTGACACATTTTTTTCTTGCAACGTGCTTCTTTTATCATGCATGGAAAAAAAAGTCTCCCTCTCTTGTTCTGTATGATATCACATTTCTAAGAGTGCTTTGAAATATTCGAAACGATATTCTTGAGGATATGTATTATACCAATTTGACATGTTTATGTGTGTATCTTTTTAGAAACAAGCCCGAAAAAAATCCCATTTTCTGCATACACAAAGAAAAGTTTACCAAGAAAACGAACACACAAATTGCTTTTGTGAAAATTCGAACGAGAACAATTCTTACATAAAGGACTCTTGTTTCATTGACGCTTAAGACATACGGACATCATTGCAAGAGATAGAACAGTACACGATTCGTCCTCAAACAAAATGCACAACTAACGTGAATACTCTAATAATATGCATCATTTTTCCATAACTTCAAAGTTCACCTCGAATACGTTTTAATTAAATGTCTTCGTTGCATTTACTTCTCTTCTCTGCACCTCTCTATGATGTGTAATATGGTAAAATTATTGAACAAAAAAAGACAAACAATTGGTAAAATGGGTGATTCGATGAAATTCGATTTATTACAGAACATTCAACAAAAGGAATAAAAAAATAAATAAGAAAATCGATTTTCATGATCATGTCAGAGATTTTGTTTGATTTGTTATTGTTGGTGGTGATGGTATTTTATATATACAGTTGGTACTGGTTGCTGCTAGGGGGGTACAGCAATTCCAATACGAAATCCAAATCACAATGAATCATATGAATACCGTGCCGTCCCCCTGGGTAACTGTTACAGCAATGCTTTAATGTTATTTGATGACAAACATCAAAGAAGTGAATATTGAAAGAAGTTCGCGGAATGTTGAATACTTTTATGGTTTATTAGCGTATTATCCATTGTAAACTATGAATGCTTTTGATTATGTGTACAAGTTGAATCAACAGCGCCGCTCTCTGTGTATAACCGAATTGTTTGCGAAAATGCTTAACATTGTTATATTGTTTGACTAATATGCGTTTTACCAACACTTTTCCTCCCACGCAACTTAAATAACACAAAAACTCCCAAAGCTTCTTTCTTAAACATTTCTTGAACATATTTTCTTTCCATACATATGTTAGAAGCCATAGTGACAATGTGTTTTCATGTGTAAATATGAAAGCATGTTGCTATGTAATGTGTGTGTTCAGATCTTCATACATTTCATGCCAAAATTGTGGATACACTCAATCTATTCTTATAAACTGACATTATTCGAATGTTCGGAAAATATATTTTCCGTTTTGAGAAACGATTTGTTAGCATGAGAAGTAAACACAGAACATAAAAAGTTTAAGTATTTAAATAATTTCATTGTCTGATTTTAAACAAATTGATTTTGTTGTTAATGAATGCCATATTTGGATTCAAATGCTCATCATTTCGAATATTTCACTATTTTGTTCCCCATTATAATTTTCCAAACCTTGAACAAAAAATCTCAATTTGTACGAAAATCTATCTGTCTGGGTGTGTTCATAATTTTCTTCAATGGTGTAAACGAGTGTAAATTTGAAATTGATTTTTCAAATTCTGATGAGCGGTTGTCTATGCGCGCGAAGCAAAACTTCAAAAAGTATTTCTCTAAAAAGATGCAGCAGCAACAACAAAACCGTATAAAAGTTAATCATTTAATTTGCTTCCAAACTTCGATTAATGTTCATCTTCATAAACGCGATTCAATGAATCATTCATAAGTTTTGAGCAACGAAGAATTGAAAAAGCTCATGCCATACGAACGAAATAAAAGGAGAGAGTGAGATAGAGAACAAAGATAAAATGCAATGGTTTTCATGGTTCATAATTAAAGTGGCGAGTCGTAAGCCAATTTTTGCACTCCTTGTATTGATCAATTTGGTGGTCTAGACAATATGAACACTTCGCACCAATGCAATGTGAGAAGAACCATATTTCAATGTATAGTTTTGGAATGGCTTACCGAATCGAGTGTGGAATGAGTGAAGAAGATGAAGCCAAAGAGAGCAGAAATGTGGGGTAAAGGAATAGTGTTTGGTACGAGTTCCTTTCACAGCTATCCATGATATGATTTTACGGTCAATTAGATGGCATCAAAGGTTCATTCATTTTATCAATTTTACTTTGAATGTATTCATCCAAACTGGTATTGAAACCTGGGCTCTGATTAGTCTTTCGGTTCGAGTTAAGTACCATAAATGAGCTATGTGCTTAGTTGAGTTTGCTGCAATTCACAAACGATAGATAGAGAGGATGACAAGAGTAACAGCAGGACTTTACAAGCGCACATAGTATTTTTGTTGTTATTTGTCAACATTACGCTTAAGCTCATCCGATAAGAGAGTGACAATTTTTTTTTGTGTGCTACTTAAAAATAGCTCATCAGGGCCGGAACGTTCGTTTTCTCAATTTTCATTATAATCATACCATCGAATTTGCTCGTTTCAGGAAAATTCAGTTGGCAATTTTTTTTGCAAATTCCAGTCTTAACATTTCAGCAGCAGCATAATTTGAGTTGGCAGTTCGTTTAAGCTTATTATGACACATTTACATATATAAAAGTATTTCACAAAATTAAAAAACAAAATATGTTATTACAGATAAAGTGGAAGAACAATCGCATGACCTCTGATTGGAAATAAATTCCGAAAAAAATAACAAAACATATGATACCAACAAATTAAAAAAAAAAACGAACGTATTAGCCGCTACATAAGATTCATCTTGATGTCGTTTTCACAAATTCTTCCATTGACGATGGGTTCGCATCCGTCGCAAATGTGTCGGAATCCAGAAATATGAAATGGATTTTGAAATTCCAATGTCTTAATATTGGTTGACAAGCAAAAAAATGGAAAAAAATTGGGAAGTAAAGGCATGTGAAGCGGAAAATTACTTGGGGTATCAAATGGTTATGGAAAAGCATTGTTTCATATTGTGGTATCTTGTTTTTGGATTTCATTTTTTTTTGTGTTTAGCAAACACACATAAAAGTACTCACAACCTTTAAACACACACATAACACTTGCGAAAAATGCTCATCAGTCATCACACATACACAGTGATCATTTTGGCACTTGGTTGAATGTAATATCTGTTCACCAATCTAGAGCCATATGCCATTTAAGCTGTATACAGACTTGGCACACATGTGTCTGCTCGTATTCATTCGATGCGGTTTTATCATCATTTCTAAGTGTTATCGCAATCTTTGTTGATGTTGTCGTCATGCTTTAAATCTCATAGCATGGACTGCACACTTTTAATCCAACACCGTTTTCAAAAAAAAAAAAAAAATAGATGTTATCTCAAATTGATCTTCACAACCATAATATATACTCTCCGTTGGGCGCGTTTGTCATCATCATTCCAAAACTTGTAATGACATCAAATGCAATAGGAACTTAATGAATGTAAGAAAATACACAACGGATAACTGCCAACTAAAATAAACATAATCCATTCTCATAACCGTACTGAATATGACTTTGTTTTGAAACAAGTGCACAAGTGGAATAAAAAAAGGACCAAAAAAAGAAATTGATTTTTTTTTAAATAAAACCTCGAACTATTCAACAAACAAATGAATCCGTTTTTGTTTGTTGTTTCAATTTTATTTAATTCATGGGGGTAGCAAATGCTTTAGATATCGATAGTCGCAAGTTCTTTTCGCTTATTATTTATGAAAGACTGTTTTTTAAACACAGTTTCGTTATGATCCAAATCAATAGATGGTACGATGAAAAGTTGCCTTATGTCATTTCAGAAATTTTTCAAACCTTTTAACCCTTTTTCCCAACGATTACGACTTCCTGTTTTAAGATTAACTCTTTCTGATGGTTTTTTTTTTCATTTAGTTGTGGTAGAAAAAAAAAAACGCATTGTCGAACCACGCTAGAACATGAATTATAAATTATAACGTGAATACATTATGATAAAAATGAAATAGGAAAAAGAAATTGGATAATCGATTTTATCATCCTTTTCGGGTCAAGAGTTTATTTGCGATTTTTATTTTATTTTAACTCGTTTGTGGCACGTTCTGACTCTCTCTCTCTCTACTGTATTTTGCGTTATGTACGCCACGAACGAAAATTGGTTTGATCATATTTTGTGTAACAACAACAAACTTTGACGACATATTTTCTATTGTTTGAATCCAAAAATTCCCGTAAATGAAATGTGGGTACGATGATTTAGATAGAAAACTAAAGCATTAAAACAAAAAACTCATTTTGAAACTGACGAAAGCTAAATTAAGATCGTTGATTAAATTTAAATGAATCCTCAAGTGCATGGATGTGTAAACAATGAACATTTTTAATATTCAAAAATGTCAATGTCACACTCATATTCAAATCTTACTTATTCAATTCTCATTATGTACTGTGCTGTACTACGACGCTGTTGTTGTCGTAGTCGCTTTTTTTAATCATTAAATCTCAACGATTACATCTTTCATCCTCCGGCACAATTTCAGGTTTGACAAGTATATATACTGAAAGATAGTCAACGCAACGTCATTATTTTTTGTGGCTCATTTTGTAAAAACAGTTTGATGAATTAATTCACTATGCTGAAATTTTGCCTGTTGTAATGACTTTTTTTTCAGACTAGTCGCTTGAAGTACTTCCAAATGGCTGTTTTTCCAATTCGTAGATAAAAATAGCTCACTCATAGAAATACACGATGGCCAAGCAAACCCATCATACATTCCAATTAAATTTATAAAAAAAATAATCGAATTGAAAACGATTATGTTTTACTTACCGCTTTTGTTTTTAACTAGCATATAACAAAAAAAGGAATTTATTTTGTTTTAGATGAAACCGACGAAATTCATTAACGGCAACAAAGTCTAATGTTGTGCTTTTTTTGTTGATTACTTCTGCTGATACGGTTGTAACAACTATTGATGTTGTCGGTGTTGTTTGGTCTCTTTTTTTCGTCAAATAGTTGATAGATTTTACAGCTGTGGGTTTTTTCTTGGTATAAAAGGTCGCTGCCGTCGGGATCAAAGAAAACCTTAACATACAATAAAATCCGCTTGTATTGGCATTTGCGTGTTTCAATGGAAAATCTGTATGAATGTGTACGGAAGTAGTTTTACTCAGCTAGTTATATCACATACAATAAAATATTCGCTTGTTCGATTGTCGTGTCTGCTGTAAATGTAACGAAAGCTCGCTTTTGTAAAACCGACAAAAATGTCAACGACACAACAAAATTAAGGTGCTAAAACTAAGTGTGAAAATATAGATGCCGGTGTAAGTGTCTTGTGGTTTATTGATTCAACTTTGCACTCTTTATTGATGAATGCATTCACCGATTGAGTGTTTTATTTTTTCATTCACTGGAATTATCGTTGAGAGAACAACAGCTGAACACTTCAACAGTTTCAATTTCAAATTTGTGCAGTCATCATCGTGTATCTAGAGCATTTTCTTCCCGACTATAGAAAACTTTTGCATTTGGAATGCATTCGTTTGATTTGAATGCCTTGACACGATCATGAATTTATCAAACAATGTCTTCTTATTGGATTAGATTCATTGACTTTTTGGCATCAGTAGCTTTTGATTTGTGGCTTTATGATAGCGTTTATTTTTATATTTATGTTTACATTGATGTGTATTTTCCGTAAACACACACTTATACAAATACACACACACTGAATTCACTATTTGTTCTTTCGATTTAGACCTTATTAGCTAATGCTAAATGAGAATGCTACAATGTTCGCTTGTATTGTTTATCCGTCTGTTGAAATTACACATCTGTTCATCCTTATTATCATATACTACATGCCATATTCATCAAATGAAAACATGCACATCTCTATACAGTATACACAAACACACACGTTTTTATTGTACGTTGAACCATATGCATTTGTTTATATTAATCCCATGCTAATAAAATACTGGCACACGCAAAAACTAATATAACTTATGTGCCATGATTCAATTTCTGAATATGCAACACACTTCGAAATTATTAAGCTCAACTGTTTTTTCGTTTGCAATGGGGTGGAGGTGATGAAATGTCCGTGGCTGTTGCTGTTGTCGTAGAGCACATTTATGTATATTTTGTAATTTGTATAGTTACGGCCGTTTGAGTGCGTGCGGATACGAATTTCTTCATTAAGATATTATAGATATAGTTAGATATTTTGGTTTTGTCCGTAGGCACTTTGCTTAAATAATCGTCATTAATTCATTCATTTCATTGGTTGGTTCATTTGGTTGATGTTTCCAAAGTGTGTCTGCATTACAAGTTGTAATCGTGTATGTTTTCTCTGAGTCAATTTTCTCGGGATGATGATTCGAACCAAACCAAACCAAACCAAACGAATTCAATCTGAGCCGATGTTTTCGAGGATATGTGGTTTTCACCAAAGTTACAAATTACAATGAGCTTCTTCACACAAGGAACCTTTGAACCACACTACACTACTCCGCTGAGGTTTACTTCAAGATGATATAGAATCCATCAAATCAGGAAAAAAAGAATAATTTCGTCATCACTCATTTGAAACACGGCATAAATGTTCTATATTTGAGTTCGAAACCTGTCGGTTTTCAGTTCACCGCACTATATCACATTGAATTATATGGATAAAGAGGAGCGCAAAAGGATCAAAACACGAAGCTTTATTGAGGGTGTTGTTGGCTAATACAATCACAACCACACACACACAGATAATATTTAACAAAAATGTAACAACAGTCCGAAAAGAGGACGAAGACGTCGACGACGCAGAGAGAAAAAAAAATCAACAACAAATACCACAAAAATTTTTCGGTTTCTATCTATTTCAATCGAACATGCTTTCAAACAAGTACTTTGTGTTCCGTGCAAACAAATAATATTTTATTTAGAAATGAAAACAAAAAGCGCAAACAGCAATGGCGTGTGTTTCTTATCGATTTAGTCTTTTGCTCCTTCTTCTTTTTCTTCTTCTTTAGAGTTTTTTTTATTTTGTTCAACTATTATTATTATTATTATTATTATTCGTTTTTTGTATAAATATATCCTTTTTTCGAAATAACGGAATTAAAATGCCAATGCAAGGCTATTTCAATTATCGGCTGTTCTTGAAGCTAATGTTCAAAATAAAACAATTATTGACAATATCCGAAATCGAACGAATATTCACACAATTAATAATACTGTTTGATTTGGCATTGTATTCGAATTTATTTTTTGTTCACGTTTTTATGTCGTTGGCCGAGTTTTGTTTTGATTTATATAATACCCGAAGTTGTTACACTCAATTCATGTATGTTTATTGTCTCTTCCACACGATTTTATTATTTTAAACAATAAAATGTTCACCATACACATGAAAACATCGCTACGATCACTTCGTATGGTTTTTGACTCACAACAACGATACACAATCGGTTGTCATTCGGCGAGCGTTTAACATCGAAAACTAACTGATTTTCGTGGAAACGTTCGAGTTTTATGCAACTATACGTTTCAAATGCTTGGCATTCACTGATTACACGTTCTGTATGTCGGCAATCGTTCTGGTAATGTGCTTTGTACACGATTTTGGTGTCTCACTTGGCTGGTGAGTGTGTTGGAATGCATTGGCAAGCATGCCATATAATACAGTATGGCATGAGTATAGACATGCGACTCGAATGCAGCATTTGAAATCGACGAAGGTGGATAAAATAAGACATGCGCGCCAACAACAACACACACTCTCATTAAGTCCAAACAAAATAAAAACAACCCAACATTACACACATCAAATCTTCAAACTGCACTAAGAAATAGTCTGCCGAATGCTATCATGATTCATTTGTGTTTCATTCCAAATGCGAAATATTTAAATAGTTCCAACTTCGAATAATAGCAACAAAGAGAATAAAATGGAGAGGAAAAAAGTCAGACTCAAATACGGTTGACGAATTTTACTTGTTGACTCTATTTAATTTCGGTTGAATGGTACGCTCGGAATTGGTATATAATATATATTTCGATGTTATCGAAATGGATTATTTTTCTTTCCCCTTTTCGTTTTTCAAAGCACTCATTTGATTCTTTTTCTTTCCTTTTTGATTTCCTGTTTGCATACTACAACACTCTGAATGAAACGAAATATTATCGTTCGTTTACGTTGACAAAAGCTCAAGCTCTTTGAATGGATTACGATTGTGAATTTTATTTATCACTTGAAATGTTCTGGTATGTACACGTCATATACCAATATCTATATTATTTTTTTTACCTTCATCTTTCAGTGCGATTTTTTTTTTTTTCAATTTTAAAATTTTTGAACAATGTTAACGATACACAACCATGAAATATTCCGTGATTCACATACATACGACTGAGAGTGCTAAACGTTATTCTTTGTAAATTTTACAAGAAATCCTGTTGAAAAATTCTCTAGAGCATATTCTGATAGACGTCAATATGTCATGTTCATGTATAAAACGATGAAAAAAAGCGCTTTTCTCTCCTTTCTCACTCTTTTTAGTATATAATAAATTTGATGTAATAAATCATAGAAGATCATTTATTCGTCTCGTCGCACTTCTGCACACGAACCGAATGAACGACCAATGCGTCAAGATTTCTTTCTGGAATTTTTGGTTGTCGGTTCGGTTTTTGGTTGAAACACTGAAATTACATACTCATGCAAGCGCTACACATATTTTCACATAGTATGCTTTTCCGTTTTGTAATATCCCGTTATAAAACCTGAATATCGTAATGTAACGCTGTTATTTGACTGATGATGATTTTTTTCATTTTTTTTTTGCACATTTACCAAAAGAAAAAGATCTTACCCATTGAAATCGAGAAGAAATTGCGGTTATGAAAAAAAACAACAACTTAAAATATAATAATTTTTAAACTTAAATCGGTCAAATATTCGAAAAAATGTTTCATATTTTATGTACATTTTGTGGATGTATTTGTTTCGGTATTTTGAAGAATCGTTTTATTTTTATGCTATTGCACATCGTTGACCGAATGGCGGTAACAATATTAGCAACTACGAATGAGCACCACCTATGAGAATTAGGAAAATGAGGGGAAATTGTTGGCCCGAGTTTCCACGGGTAATGCAAAATGACATAATCTTATTTTTAATATAAAATAACTTGTGTATGAAATATTAATATAACATACGTCCAGATGACACTACACTATTTGTGCTTATGGACTCTTTACGTCGCTTACGATATGACATGGAGCCTTGTGTAGGTACAATTACCATTTAAAAGAGGAAAAAAAATAATGATGTGAATAATAACATACATGAGGTAAGGTAGGTGTCAAAAAAAAAGTCAGTTTGAAATTGATGAGATTTCATTGAATTGCTTGCCCTACCAAATCATACACATAATGCCATCCAATCAAAGCACATTCATCTTCAACACTGACAAATTGATGCTTGATTGAAGTCCATACTAATTTGCAGTTCATACCGTTAGCTATATATACATGATGTTTTGATGTCCAGACACCTATTTCATGAACGTCAATATCGTCAAACTACATGGCATTTTTTTCTTCTTCGTGTTTCCATGTAATCTTCTTCGTTTTGGGACAAAAATTACATGTCATTCGGAGTGGAGAAAACTTTTCTCTAGACTTTTCTTGTGAATCTGGATCATTTGCAACAATTAATTGTTACTTCAGAGTTAGTTTTTTTCTTCATTCCATTCAACGAACCGAGAGAGAATATGAACAAGTTTTTCATTAAACAAGCAGCACTCTTAGATATGTAAGACTGAGGAACTATTGCCATGACTATTGCACAATCGTGTACATTACTTACACAACTTGAATCATTTGTCACAGAGATATCATTTTTCTTCGAATAAAACTGCAAAATGTACACGTTATTCGATCAAAAAACATACATACTTTGTATACGTACAAATAAATGTTCAAATGCTCTGAGAATCATCTTGAAGATCTACAATAGTTTTTGAAAAATTGAAAATGAATAAAAACGACCGATACAATCTTGCTAAATAAGAGAACAGCGTTGAAATGTTGTACAAAAATAAAATAATTCAATCTTTCTTATATAAATACAAATTCTTAAATGAAGAGGGTATTGACATTTTATCAAATTGTTAATAGAAAATTAATTATTTATATACAATTATCGATCCGGTTTTCAAACTTTATATTTTCAAAAAAGACATCATTTGTTCCAATATCAAACGAACTCCTTATTAGTTTGTGTAATATAAAGATATGGCTCTTGCTACTATGAAAAATAATAATGGGCAGCGTTTTAATCTCCCGTGGATATATTTTATTTCCCGAGAAAATTCCCGTTTTTTCGGCTTTGAAATAAACTTCCAATTTGACAATTTGTTTTTAGTATCTATTTGAATATTTGTTGGCTCCAAAATGAATCTTTCAACTAAAAAAAAAAACACTTCATTTATGCAATTTACTTTAAAATTGTAAAGAGTGAATGTAATCAGTGATTTTATCCAATTTTTAATCACGGTATGTGGTTAAAGAATCTTCAAATAATCATTTTAATAAAGATCCCTCAAACCAATTTGACTTGGATTCCAAACCTGCTGTTACTTCTGGAGGAATATAATCGGTTTCACCAAGAAACCAATTAAAGTCTCAAAGCTCAAAGAGTCCCGTGAACTTTGAATGTAAACTCTACGATAGTTTGTGTTCTTTTGATTCTAATCATATGTGTGTATTTCTGTTAAACATATCACTTCATATTTAAAACCATGCACACGTGTTACTCATTCACTTTATTAGGAAAATCTTTTCTCTATCTATTTTGGTTTGTTCCGATTTCTGGTTTGAGGATATGAAAATCCAAAAGACGTTGTATAAAAAGCCATTGTTTTTAAATACGTGCTACACCAATTCCAAATATTATCAACGAGAATAATCCAAGCAAAACTGTTCATAGAATGACTGTATTTTCAAACAAATGAATGCGAACGTGATTAAAATGTCTTATTGAAACCATTTGCATTGTTCTCTACTTAGTTTTCTATTTTCTTCTCTCTCTCTCTCTCTCTCTCTCTCTCTGTCTGTCTTGCACACAATTCATCTGGTCTTCAAGAAAAAACGGACTGTTTTTTAATCATCCAACTTGAACGAATTAATTCCCCAACAAACAACAACAAAATACTGTCATAAAAATGCATTCTCATTGACAAATTTGCGTTATACAGTTGACAGCGAAATGTTCAAGCACAGCTCTCGCGATTCACAATTAACTGATTTATGACAGATTCACTAAGGCCAGATCTTTCAAACGCGGATTTTTTTTGGAAAAAACCAGCGAGCATGATCGTTTATAGGTCACTTTCTTGGAAATTGGGAATGTTGACCAAAAATGTTGTGTGTAACTCATTTTGAGGCGTAGACGCTCTACTAACACCGCAAGTGCGACTTACCGTACTCAAATGTTCTTCTCTGTGTGGGACATTGTTGGTTCAATTGTTTAAGCCTAGTCCCAAGTTTCGAATTTCACATGACCGGATACTAGAGAATCATATTCGATAATATGCTTTATTAAAACCATATATATTAAAAACAATTTTGGTTGAGAGTCTCAACTTGAGACATGAAAAAGTGGTATGGAATTCATACATTGATTTTTGGATAGGATAGGTCCGTAAGATAAGCCTCCTAGATCTAAGCGTGCATATTCCGCCGCATGGTTACATACACACGCAGACTTATTCTTCTTAGTTCGCCTACTTTGATTTGCTTGTCGAAACAACACAGTAAAACGAATGCATGTATCATGCGGCGGCGTACGCACGCTTAGATCCAGCTCTTGCGGAGATCTTACGGGTCTATCCTATCCAAAAATCAATGTATGATGGAATTCAATAATTTTCATTTTACATTTTTACGATTTAATAATAATAATCTTTTGTATTGTTTTTAAAATAAAAATTCAGTATTGAAACACAGACAGCAGACAAAAACTTGGTGTGATAATAGTAAGTTTGTAACATAATTCCTTTTAAGAACGTCAAAAGGTACAATATAGGCCAAAACTTTGAAACCATTATGTTGACTGTACACATCATGGACCAAATCATCTGAGATTTTCAACGAAAAAGAATTTACTCTCAATCCATGACTTTTCAAAAAAAACTTACGCTTTTCAAACATGGTTTCAACTTCAAATGAATTTGTGATGCTTTTATTGCATGGACATCAGTAATGAGTCCAACTGTACACGAACTGATCCATATACCACATACTAATATACGTAATATTTGTCTCAAGGGTATATATCGTTTTTGTTGACTTACTTTTTGGCCAAATCAAATATTATTATAGTATATACTTTGCATTTTTCTCAATTTCATACATCAAATACTCAAAAAGCTTGATCTCATGCACAAAAATCTTCTATTAATAAAAAAACAATTTTAACCATATGTGCAATGTACATATAGAGAGATAATATCGTTCTCATTCTATAGTTGAAATATCATTGACACGATCTTCAAACTGATTCAATTTTTTTATTCAATCACTTTTTCTTTTCTTTCTTCGAACAAATCCGAAAAAATACGTAGTTTATGTCATTTATATGGAGTTCTTGAACCACTTTAATATCATCTGATTGAAGAAGAAGTAATCCATCGTTTTGATGATATCAATGTGAATGACACAGTGCATCTATCTACACAAATCGATTTGTAGACGACGATTTTTTTTCTTTTTCTTTTTCTTTGTATACCAAGCATACTGCTGAGTGTTATATCCCATTTTCTCAACAAGAAAAACCCCAACAAATCTGATGATAAAGATTTATATTTCTTTTTTTTTATCAATCCAATTTATTTATTTCTCTTTTATACTTCTTTGCTTCATTCTTTACATTCAAACGAAGAGGAAAATACTTAAAATTGAATGAGAATTTTAATTGCACCAAAACAAAATGAATGTAAACAATTTTTTTGCATTTTCTTTGCGATTTATTTTTCAAATCAGATGAGAATGGTTTTGGTAAAGAAAAAAAAACAATTTCGAAATATATGCAGTAGCGCCATCTTAATGTTGAGTTTTAAATCAATTGATATGAGATTCTTGACTGTTCTGCTGTCAAGCTATCATATGTTTTGGTAACAACATAAAACGAATATTTATAACCAACAAAAGCCGCATATTATCAATAGGCTTCAATTTTTAATATATAATATGAATCGAATATATATTTTTAAGGAATTCACTAGTGGCATATCGTTTCTGTATAAAAGTCGACGCTATAAAAGTAAATAAAAACAAAACTTTATCGTAAATTCAATTTGAATTCTTGCATATCGTTTGTTGTCATTGCTGTTATTATAGGTTTTTGTGATGTTTACAATGTAAAAGAATTGGAAAATGATGTGACGGCGTTCGATCGTAGTAATCAAAAATTATTTCCAAATGTTGAACGAAAACCGCAGTCGGGTGAATTCAATTCAATTTTGCCGCCGCCCAATGTGACCGGCAATCTTCATTTGGGCCATGCTATGATGATAACTGTCTTGGATGTGATATGTCGCTGGAAGCATTTAAACGGATATAATGTAATGTTAGTGCCTGGTTTGGATCATGCCGGTATCGCCACTCAAGTTGTTGTCGAACAACAGCTAAAGAAAGAGCTTGGTGTATCACGATTTGACATCGGAAAACGTGCATTTGTTGATAGAGTCTTAAAGTGGAAAAATGAGAAAGGTATCAATCGACATTCAAAAAGAAATTCCTTGTTTTTTTTTTCTCAATAAAATATAATTTTTATTCAAAGGTGGCAGCATTAAGGACGATATTTATAAAATGGGAACCATTTTCAATTGGGAAAAGGAATATTTTACAATGGATGAGGTGAGTGACTTATGTCACCCATTTAACACACTTGACAATTAATTGTTTTCTTTTTTTCACGGACAGCGACAATCGTTTGCAGTTGCCGAAGCATTTATCCGTCTATTCGATGAGAAATTGATTTATCGAAAAGAATCTCTGGTCAATTGGTCATTTGCGTTGAAATCAACCATATCCGACATCGAAATTGAGAATATTTCAATCAATGGACCAACAAAAATTTCAGTGCCTGGTTATAATAAAGCGATTTTATTCGGTGAAATTTACAATATTTCTTATAAATTGTCATCGGATGAAAATGAATACATAACCGTGGCAACAACTCGGCCGGAAACAATTTTAGGTGATACCGCCGTTGCTGTCAATCCGAATGATGAACGATATGCACATTTACAAAATAAAAATACACAACTTTGGCATCCCTTTCGGCACGAATGGATTCCGTTGATATTTGACGATAGCGTGACCTCATCACTTGGAACGGGTGCTGTTAAAATAACTCCATCGCATAGTAAAGTTGATTATGAGATAGCACAACGTCATAAATTGCCATTAGTTTCAGTGTTCGATCAAAATGGAATGATTTTAAATAGATTCGATGGTTTTTCTGGCTTACCACGTTTCATTGCACGCGAAAAAATTCTCGAAACTTTGGCCAACATGGGCTTATTCAAGTCAAAAGCTGATCACAAATTAGATCTTCCAATATGCTCGCGATCAAAAGATGTAATTGAAATGCTCACAAAACCACAATGGTTCTTGAATTGCGCGAAAATGTCAGAAGAAGCCATTCAAGTCTTAAAAACTGGCCAACTAACAATTGAACCATCAAAATTTGAAAATGAATGGAAACGATGGTTTGAAAATACAAGGGATTGGTGTTTAAGTCGACAAATTTGGTGGGGTCATCAAATACCAGCATATAAATGTACGTATGAAAATAAAACAATATGGATTGCTGCTCACAGTAAAGACGAAGCACTCAATAAATGTGCCAAAGAATTTGGCGAAACGTTCGATAACATGAAAATTACAATCGAACAAGATGAAGATGTACTTGATACGTGGTTTTCATCAGGCATTTTACCATTTTCGCTACTTGGATGGCCCAATGAAAAGCAATTAAACAACAGTAGTTATCCATTGGATGTTTTGGTTTCGGGTCATGACATTTTATTGCTTTGGATTGCACGCATGGTTATGTTATCGACACATTTTCAAAAGGACGTACCGTTTAGAAAGGTCTTTTGTCATGGCATTATTTGCGACGAAGAAGGACGGAAGATGTCAAAAAGTCGAGGAAATATTGTAACACCAGACCAAATCATTAATGGAGCTTCAATTGAGGTAAATGATTTTCTCTATTTTCGTTACTTTTGCTTCTAAAAATCTTGATCTGATGTAGGATTTAAAAGAAGATCTTAGAAAAATGTACAATAATGGAACATTGACACAAAACGAGCTGAATAGATCACTTCGCTTGAAAGAAGCAGCATTTCCAAAAGGGATTCCCTCCTGCGGTGTTGACGCTTTACGATTGACTCTCTGTAATTCGGATGTTCGTGAACATTTTATCAAATTTGATCCGAAAAATTGTGAAAAAAATTATCGATTCCTCAATAAAATTTGGAACGTAACCAAATTCACACTACTCAATTGCACCACATTTTCGATGGATTCCACTTTAAATCCGATTATTGGTTTCGATGAACTTTCACTGATGGATAAATGGATATTGAGCCGATTAAGTAAAACGATTGTTGAAACAAGCACCGAACTGAACTCATTAAATGCTGGCTGCGCATCGTTGTGGAAGACATTTTTTTATGAAAATCTTTGTGATGTATATGTTGAAGCGGCCAAATACAATTTTCACAACAACTTAGCAATCGAATCACAAGCTCAATGTGAAGTATTAAAAACATGCTTGGCAATTGGACTACGGTATATGGGCATTTTTACACCATTTATATCCAATGAACTACTGGCCTACTTACCAAATCAAATGGAATTTAAGGTTTTTTTCGCACATTTTTTTCTAAATTTCAATTTCGATGGTAAATTGTTTATTAAATGGTTTATTGTTTCGTTTCTATTAAGCCAGAAAAATGGATAAACGATGCGCTGGAGAATGAAGTGAATCAAGTGCTTGAAGTGTGCTCGGAAATTCGGAAAATGAAAAGCCCTCAAAATATTTTGAGGAGTCACGGCCCAAGAAGTAATTAGACTTTTTTTTCTTTTTATTCACCTATTATATATTATATATTATTTATTATTGTTTTTAAGGTTATATATTCTCAACGGATGCAGAGATGCTGAAAATATTGAAACAATTCCAAAGACCAATAAATTCGTTGACATTTTCAGTGGAAACAAGTATTCTGCCCATGGAAATGGATGCATTTGGCGAAAAAGAGAAATTACTTCTCACCTCAATTCTTAATGAACGTTGTTCGATCGCAATCTCAACAGATGTCAAGATTCAACTAGTCGATATTCAAGAGCGTAACAAGAAAAAACTAGCTAAACTACAGGAGAATTTAAAATTTATGATTGACAAAATATCGCGAGACAAGTATTGTAAAAAGGCCACGTCACGTACTAAGGAGAAAGATTCACTTAAGGTAAACTGATTAATATAGAACGAAATTTTGGTTAGTTCTGCGTGGCGCTTAGCAAAGTAGCGATGAGCTTCCGCACCCAGCTAGCTATATATGTGTACAATTTTGATGCTTGGCACACGCCGAAATTTGGCTGGCTTCCTTTGATGAAAGGCCAATCTTTATGGGGAGATATCCTTTCACTTACAAAAATAAACGTTTTTTTAGATACTAGAATCTTCGTACTAAATTATTATAAAGTTTTTGTATTAATAATAATATGAAAACTTGAAGTAAAATTGATTTTTGATATGTCTGACATTTATTTAATTCAAATTTTCGTTACAGATTCGAGATATTGAGGATCAAATAAAAACGTTAACAGACTTGATCGAACGACAGTAGCAGAAAAGCGATAAAAAGAATATTGTCAAAAGTAAACTGTTTCTCATTTGAAAATATGAGAGTTTGAAAAAAAATCTACAATAAATATTTCAGAGTGATAATTTTTAAACTCTCTTGTGTTAAATTTAGTAACCTAGTCAATATTTTTATAGGAAATAAAGACACGATTATATCGAGTTCCAAACGATAACATCAGCGATTTTTTATTCGGAATTTCAAGAAGGTTGAAAAAATTTCAATAAAAAATTGTTATTTGTTTTTTTTTTAAGATTTCTTCGTAGCGGCAATAGAATGATTAGATCATTTAACAGATTAAAGAAATTGAGTTTTTTTACTTGACTTCACCTTTGATATAAAATCAAAATACAAATAAAAGCATTTATTACGAATTGAAGTTCAACCGAGAAGATGCATCTTGTCATGACAACCAAAAAGAGTTTTATTAATGAATCATAGTCGTTATGCTTACATTTGTCAAGCCCTTTACACTGGCCCATCGAACAACGCAAATAAAGTTCAATGAACTCATAAAACAATCAGTCACAATCACAAAATATTGTTGCTGCCTTTTTTTCATAATTTATGACACTCTTAATTCATGTCAGTACGCTCTCATTTCAAATTGAATATTGAGATTAACTCGTGTGACACATTTTGTCGATAGATCAATATTTGATTCAGATTTGATAATAGTGATTCAGTAAAAGTCTCTCATTTGCACTAAATGATTCCAGTCTCAGGCGATATGATACTGTGCGTAGAATATAATACAAACGTATACTCTATAGCCTCGGCTGAACAACTGATATTGATCACTAAATGAGTTTAAAGAAAAAAAGCAAAAAAAAAAAACAATAAGAATATAACAATAATTAATATTGATATGAAACATGTTGACCAATCACAGAGAGAGAGAGAGAGTTATTTTAAGAAAAATAATAGGTGCTCACTTAAGTCGTTACTGTAAACGTTTTTATGTCATTTATTATCAGTATTTTAAATATACCGGTTAATACCTAATAACGGCGAAGAGCTCAACTTTCAGCTGAAGTGTATATATCGCAGTACCTAAATTTATCAGATTTTACGTTTTATAAATGTTAATAAACGTTAAAAATGAATATTTATGATTGTCATGTAATTTAAGATCGATTTTATTTCTCTCGAATTAAAACTTATTCATATGCGGTACAATGAATTCTATAAATTAATTCAACAATATTTTATATATTAATTGGGCATCTATTCTAGTGTATACAATACAATTGATTTTTTAAATTAATGTGATATTTCGTAACGATGATTTTACTTTGCATTGGGTTGGGCTACCCTTTTTTTATTTCATTACAAAAATTTACATATATATGGACTCCAGATTCTGGAGACTCTGCGATACTCAATTGTTGCTTGAGATTGTTGCTACGTGCTTAATTTATTGCCCAATCAATTGGCCAATTTATTTCGCTCAATACACGAGGCGCACCCGCACATTCTTTACATTGACATATCATATTCATTCTACAATTTAACCATTTTTTATTTAATTTAATATTTATTAATACTAATTTCAATGTTGAATGAATTTCCTTAACAAATAGGTAAAATGATTTTTGTCGGTTCGAGTTTTTTTTCTCATCATTTTTAGATTTGATAAAAAATATTATATGAAATTTATATAAAAATTGATGGTCAAGTAAAAAAAAAAGAAGAAGAATATTTTTAATTGTCCAACTTTGCATGGCCATTTATGAGTTCCGGAGTTTCTGGAATGGTATTAGATGTTTGGTTTAATTTTTTCAGTTCTTCCAAATTGTCAGCATTTTCCTCGTCTTGATGCGCCGTCTTTTTACCGAATCGTTCACCCTCCTCAATGGTTTCTGGTAATTTTTTGTTTAATGTTTCTGGTAGATATAATGATAAAAGGCCACTGATGAACGCAAGCACACCAAATATAACCAATGGAAATGGTTTCCATAAGTCGGCGAGTACATTTATGTATGGTGCTAAAATGCCGCCGAAACGTGCCATCATTGATGACGCACCCAAACCAACATTGCGAACCGGCGTCGGAAATTGTTCAGTTGTAAACACATAAACCGTTCCATAGCTTGAAGTGATTGCCATTTTCCCGAGCATAGCCAATACCATAATCGCAGTATCATGCTCTTTTGGAATGAGAATTGTGGTCAAAAGCATTGTGCCAGCCACTAACATGCAACCGCACAAAATATTCCGGCGTCCCCATCGATTGAGCGTTAACAGCAGAAATGTGTAGGCGGGAAATTCAACGGCGCCCGATATAATAAAATTCACATAATCATTGCCACCCAAATTGCTGGTATTCCACGATAGACCGTAGTATGTTGCACTGTTTACAAACCAATCCAAAAAAATCAATAGCGTCTTCCTACGCAAATTTGGATAACGAAACAGATCAAGCAATGATGGTTCTTTAACATCCGGTTCTTTTACGATTTGTTTTGGTTTGATTTCGTCGTCAATGCTGTCGAGCACTTCTTTTGGAATGATCGCTTTATTCTCTTTGGCAACGGCTTCGATCACTTTGATTGCTTCATCTTTACGATTTTTTGATAATAACCATCGCGATGATTCTGGAATGAACCAGTAATAACACATGAATACCAATCCGGGTAATGTGATGGCAATTTGAAATTCACGCCAATCCCGAAAAATGTACGCAAAACCAGCCGTCAAAATGAAACCAAGCGAGAAAAACATCATAACAGCAACACCGGCAAATAGTCGATAACTTTGTCCAACCATTTCCATAGCCAGTACATACGATACCAAAAATACACCCGATGTTGTTGCACCGACTACCAAACGTGCCAACACAAATGTTATGTAGTCGGGTGCAATACCGGCTATCACACCGAATATTACTTGTAATACAAGCGATGCAAAAAACACCGGTTTTCGTCCATATTTGTCAGACATTTGACCAAACACAATGCTACCAAGTAACACACCCAACATAAATAGAGCATCGGCCGTCGCACGCATTGCTTTTCGTCCACATATCATATTCCATTCAATAACCGTTGAACTTTTGTACTTTGAATCATCCAATATGTATGAAACACATGTTATGCTCTTGTTTACTGGACTATTTGATGCAAAATATTCATCCGTAAAATTTGCATCCAATCGCTCGCATCCAGAGTACTTTTCATGATTGAATTCATCGACTGGGTACGACATATACCATGTCTCGTTGGGAAGGCTGTAATTTGCATTGATGGATTCGAATGGCAGCTGACATCGATGATCGGGTTTTGCCATCAAAAAGACATTTGCCAATTTATGAAAACCGCATGGTATTGCCGTCAAACATAATAGAAAATAAATACGCTTTTGATAACGACCAAAGTCACCGATATATTTAAACAGATCTTCATATGCCATTATTCAATCTTTTTTTGTTCTCACGTGTATCGAGACTACGTTGTTGTCGCACAATCAATCGTCAAGGATTTATTCGAGTTCTTAATAGCACTATTTTATTATATTTTTTGTTTCATCAAAATATCATCAATACTGGGAGCGATTGTCAAAGTATAATGAAAAGAGCAACAGTTTATCGTTTGTTTGCAATAGCATCTATGCGTTGTGTTTAAATAGGGCTTTTTTTCTTTTTCTCACATAATTTCACTCGATTGAAACGCATTTCTCAACCGTTATCAATAAATGTAAAAATGATGAACTTTTTTTTATTACACAAATTGTGTGTTCATTGTTTATAAAACCAAAAAACTACGAAATTTCATTTCGACGATAATTTCAATGGTGGAGTTTTTGGCGACTGTTTCTTAAAATAAAAAAATTACTTCACCAAATCTTCAACATACAGTTCGATTTATTTGTGTAAACAGAATTGACCGGACGGGAATTAAACCAAATTCGTATTCGTGTTATGATTTTTTTTTATACACGGCGTATGTATATTGCTTGAATACGTCTGCTCGAGTAAACTAAAATTTAATGACTGATGTGCTCGGATTGTTTGGTAAAAGTGATAAAAAAACACACTTTAACACAACACATTGCAATCTGTGAATATTATTCAAAGAGAGTGTACGTTAGTAAAGAGAGTAAAATGAATTTGTCGATGTTCACAATGTACAAGTATCACTTGAATGAATTTTGGTCGGCAAATGTTAAAGATATGACTATGACACAGACATCTACTATTACACACACACAAAATTGTATTCACAATTTACGTTATATGGCATATATACATACACACAAGTCTATACGCTTCAAATGACACATGTTCGGGAATGCGCAAACACTGTGTCGGCATAGTTACATGGATACTCTCTTGTGAACATTAGGGTGCGTCAATATTTCATAACTGTTATTCCAATAAAATTCCGAAAATAATCACACAAAACATCTTTGTTTCAATTGTTGAAAAATGTGTTTTCATTCATCAGTATAGCACACAAATATTTCCTTGATATCGAAAATATTTGGCCATGACCGATAAATATCTGTTTTATTTAGTCGGTCTCGAATTTACATGTTTTCTAAAAATATCACATTCATTCAAAATAGTATATCATTCAAACAGTACAGCAGCACACATCAAACGCAACAACTACCCTAAGCAACATCACGCGATAGTATCGTACGTTATACATTTGCTTTTGCGTATTGTCGACTTTATTCGCAACGCGATAGAACACATGGTTCAAAAGAGAGATATATATATGGCTTACAATGCATATTTAACGGTTACGTCGTTCAAAAACGAGGGCCAAAATAGCATTTGCCTTTTTTTCTCTCACTTATCCCATTTGTAGATTGAATTGTATTTTCAACCGTATATAAATTAAAGAAAGGAAATGAGAAAGAAAAAAAATCGAAAATCAATCGTGCATACATAAGAACCTCTCACACTCAAATATGAATGAATTAATAATTTAATAATTACTATTCATCACACGCATACTCATTCTTCCGCTCTCACACTCTATCTATGAAATTCGTATGCATCGACCTCACAATTTGAACTTTTTCCAGTTCATTTCAAAGATAGATTAATGACTTCGATAATGTTAAAAATACGACGGTTATTCAAAGCTTTCATGTATTTGTTTGAAATCGATTTCATTTTGTATGTGAATAAAAAAAAACGAGAGTAGAGTGAAGTAGAGCGCTGTTATATGTATGGTGCATTTTTCTAGTAGCGATGCACTTGGTTTTGTAAAAAAGAAAGTGGAAAATTTTCTCAGTCAATTTCAATATGCGTGTATTGTTGATTCGATTCTCTATGGACAGCGGACAATGGATATTGATGCACTTTATATGTATATAAAAACACTGAATTGTGTGGTAGAAAATGATGATATCTGATTGAAAGTTGACAAATGTATTGATGGATGGTCTAGTAAACTTATTTAAATTGATTTCACTTTTCGATATTGTATGCAAAACGATTCAATTAATTAATGCGAATATGCTTTGATTTCATAAAATTAACAAAGAGTCCAACCGTTGCAGACAACATAAGGCGAATACAATGAAAATTGATTGGCTAATTGGGTGTCTCCACCCCAAAAATAGCCTACATTTGCCTTGAGCAAATTGACTTGAATTCTGGTACTACCAACACAGTCATCGACAACTCCTCATACATTCCATTCAATTTATGCATATTTATTGCATATAATGACTTCATTTAGTTGTCATGTTATTCCAGACAAAGGTTTCAATTCATAACGAACACTTTGTTATCGTTAATGCATTCGTCTCTGAAACTACACCATAATCTATGGAATAACAAAATTTATCATTTAACAAAAAATAAAAATAAATAAAACGAAATAATATTCATGACAGAAAATCACAAAAAAGGTGGCCTTCGTCTTCTACGCATTCGATATTTAATGTTGTTTACACAGTTTTTTTCATGCATTTATTTTCGCGCCAATAAGCCAACAACAATGGTCTCTTCCTACATACAACAATCGTCTTTATCGGTATTGGTAAATCAGTCGAAAGTCGTATGACAATCAACGGCCATATGTTTTGTCACAAAAATGACATTTTGGGACAGTATACACTAAGTGAAATGTCATTCATTCTAAATATGTATATTTCTAATGCCATTTGAGTTCAATAGGAAGTCTTTTTTTCTCTTTTTATTTCTATACTGAGATAGTGTTAGACAAAAAAAAATGAATTTGCAAATTGGACGTTTATCGCGTAAGTAATTTTAATTTAAATTAAAACTGTGACATTTTTCCAATAAGAAAAAAAAAATCTTGTATTTCAGAGAAAATGGCATTGCTATCGCGATGTTATAGTTCAGGTGTTGTCAAACCAAAAACCGGTGTATTGCTCTTGAATATGGGTGGCCCCCAGAATATTGATCAAGTTCGTGATTATTTGCATCGCATTATGACCGATCGTGATATGATCCAATTGCCATTCCAATGGATGGGTCCATGGATTGCAAAACGGCGAACGCCCGAAGTGCAAAAGAAATACCAGGAAATTGGTGGCGGTTCACCGATTCTAAAATGGACAAATCTTCAAGGTGAACTAATGTGCAAAGAACTTGACAAAATATCACCGGACACGGCACCGCATAAGCATTATGTTGGTTTTCGATATGTCAATCCATTGACGGAAAATACATTGGATCAAATCGAAGAAGATGCACCGGAACGTGTGGTCATTTTTTCACAATATCCACAGTATAGTTGTGCAACATCTGGTTCGAGTTTTAATTCCATTTATCATCATTATCGTCACAGGTACACAGATATACCTTTTTTCAAAAATTCTATGTATTTAATAACGATTTTTACGAAGAGATTTTCCTAAACACATTAAATGGAGCGTCATAGATCGATGGGCAACGAATCCACTGCTTGTTAAAACATTTGCCGATAACATTCGAAAGGAGCTCAACCAATTTCCAGAAGACCAGCGAAAAGATGTTATCATTCTATTTTCAGCACATTCACTGCCGCTTCGAGTAATGATATATGAAATTTACATAATGTTTTCGCAATGTTTAATGAGATGAACCTTTTTTTTTTTTGGTTGAACATTTTAAAGGCAGTCAATCGCGGAGATTCATATCCATCAGAGGTTGGAGCAACTGTGGCACTGGTCATGGACGAATTGAAAATGTGCAATCCATACAGTTTGGTGTGGCAGTCAAAAGTTGGCCCATTACCATGGCTGGAACCATTCACCGATGATGCAATTAAGGTAAGAATTGATATTCATCAAAAATAGGTCCACCAATAAACAAATTAATTATTGAATCATATTTTATTTCAAAACTTTAAAGGGCTATGTGAAACAGGGAAAGAAAAATTTCGTCATAGTTCCCATTGCATTCGTAAATGAACACATTGAAACTCTTCACGAACTGGATATTGAATATTGTCACGAACTTGCTGAAGAGGTAATGCACAATTGTTCGAATTCTTAAATCGACAATTTAATATTTTATTTAAAAAAAATAGTTGGCTTCATAAAAGTTGTTCGTCAATCATGTGTTTTGCTTCCTCTAGGTTGGTGCCGAAAAAATTCGAAGAGCAGCAGCACCAAATGATCATCCATTATTTATCAATGCTCTGTCAGACATTGTTTCAAAGCATTTAAAATCAAACGAAAGAATTACGGAGAAATTCACCATGCGCTGCCCTAAGTGTACCAATCCACGATGTGATGAAAGTAAAAAATGGTACAAGGCTCTATTTCGTCAATAAAACAAAAACATAGTACAAAATTATTTAAAAACAACAAAAAAATAGGTGCTGGATATTAAACATGGTTTTGCCATTGTAAAGCAATTGAGAATTATTTAAAAAAAATAAAAAATGGTAATATTTCAATGAAAGAATATTTAAAAATATATAGATTTATTGATTGTATGTCACAGTAATTGGTTTTTTCATCCATTAGCGAAAAGAAATGTTTTATCACAGATATTTTTCCTTTGACTTATTATTTATCTTAAAATGTGAAAAAAATTAGTTATTTGGCACATTACATATGCCCCGTTCGGTAATTATAAATTCTGCAAATTGATTTGATAATTCAGGTGAAAATCCAATTTCCATGCTTCGCACTGTAACCGGTGTATTTAATATTGTTGATTCAATTTTCGTAATTTGTTTTTGAAGTTTGCGAATTTTGAATTGATTTGAAACAAGATTACTCCAAGCGAGACCCAGACTTGGTATACACTTGTCATGCAGTGAAGCTGTTATCTATGTCAGAATTCATATAAATTAATAATATTATTTTGAAAATTAAAAAAAAAATCGGTCGGACCTGATTTACACAGACAACAGCACAGTCATAGTCATCGGCAAGTGCTTGTAATTTAAAAACTAGTTTTCGCATGTTATCGGCACGTGCAATTGCATCACTATCGCGACGAAAAGCTCCCGCAATTGAGTCGATAATAATCAAGCCAATACTTTGTTGTGCCATGAAACTGGGTAATCGATTGCAAATACAATTCATCAGAACCGCCTGTAAACAAATAAAAAATAGTTAATTTTTAATTGCAAATTAAAATGACATTTTACCGATTCCGGACAATATTCCACAAAAATATTGTCAAGCCAATTGGTCCTATGGTATTGTTTCTCATAAAAGCTGGCAATTTGTACTAAACGTTTTGATGGGAATGCATCTTCTGTACAGATGTAGATGGCAGAACGGTTCAAACCACCATCGGCCAACGATAGTTGAACATTCAGCGCTAGTGTTAAACATATTTGAGATTTACCTAAGAGTTGATCAAAAGAAAAGAATGGAAAAAATGGAAATTAATCAATGCGTAATGGATCGGAATGGAAAATGAATCGAAGGAATGGATCAGGAATGGTAGAGTAATGGAATAGTAACTTTTAAGTAAGTATGCCTTAGATTTACCACATCCAGACTCTCCAACAATTTCCGTAATTCCTCTTATTGGCAAACCATTTCGAGTGATTCGATCCAATGCTGAACATCCAAACGTTAAGTGTCTCCATTTTGGTGCCATAATCGATGAAGATTCCAATGCTGACAAAAAACATAACATTTGAATTCTTGATCATTTCGATGGTTATTTCTTCAAGCTAACCTGTCATGTATGTTGCAGATGGCACAATTGACGATACAGCCGTTTTTAATGCATCGACCTCGTCATCGGTTAATCCAAATGACATCAATTCAATGTTTGATGTTTTCAATACTTTTTCCACGGTTGTTACATTTTCTAACAGAAACATCAATGTTATGAGAAAGAATACGTAAACAAAATATCAGAATTATATGAAACCTACTTCCAGCCAATATTAACTGAATTCTGTCTGGAATGTTTAATGACAGATCCAATAGATCCTGCTCTTGGTAAATGTATCCCGAATTCATTGTAACTGGCTATTTTGGACAAGTAAATCGACTCAATCAAAACTTGGTTTGAATTTTAATTTACTGTCAAATGTCAAAGATTCGATCGAATTGTTGCCGCCATTTTCGAATTCGAATTTATTAGCGAAATAAATATTGCACCGAATTCAAATAATAAAAAACACAATAGAAAAACATATTTTCTCGATTATGCTCTTCAATTTTCAAATGGCAAACAATTTTTCTATTTATGGAATTGAAAGGTAGATTGTTCGGTAAAAAAACCATGGTTTAATGGCATACAAAAATATGCATGTATGTCTAAAGTCTGTCATTTTGCATGGAAAAATCATAAGATTTTAGGCGATGGCCAGACATAAATAGCATCATACTTGGCTCTTATTTTATGAATAAAATGATACAAAAACATGTTTTAATTGAGCGAAAAGTATGTATTTTTGAGTTATTCAATAAATTAGTGACAATATATAAATGTATAAATCGCAGTTTTCATTGTTTCATATATATTTTTTTTTTTCGTTTTCTTCATTCAATATGTGAATAATGTATAAATGTGTGTAAAAATATTTTAATTTTAATTGATGAAAATATAACATTATAGAGAAATATTGTGCATGTTAACGAGAAAAAAATAATTATTATATGAGTAGAGATAAAAATATTTCTGTTTTTAGACGAGATTTTTTTATTTTTGCTTCATTCAGGCGGTTTGCATATTATGTTGTGTCGCTATAGGTCTCGGCATTTCATTGCTATTTTCCTCATCGTATTCGGATGATGCAATCTGTGGCATTCTGGGCAACGGTATTTTATGCATAGCGTCATATAGCACCCAATTATCCGGTCTAAAATTGTAAATAACAAACAGGAGAACCATCAACACTGCACCTACACACCCATTAATTAAACTATAAATTGCGTTTTTCTCTCTCATTTTTCCCACATTTCTTGTAATTTAAGCGAAAACTGTGCCATTGATCAATTTTGATTTTTTTTTTTTTCAGTTAGCGGAAGAGCGAGAGAGAGAATTTTTTTTACCTTTCCGGTTTGGTAAGCACATTTAATGGAATTAAACCGATTGATCGATTAAATGAAGCAGCAGCACTTTGAAAAGTGTGTGTTTTGATTTTCTTATGGTCATTGTCGTTGATGTTACTATTTATGTTGTTGATGATTTGCTTTTGATTTCGAACATTTTCGAATTTACCATCAACCATATGATGTAGTGGATAGTCATCAAATTGTGGTGAATGATATGTTGTTGCATTGGTCATTTCGTGCAATGAAGTCATGTGTGTTTTTCTTGTATCGTCTTGTGTATTTGAATGGTCAAAATACAATTTTGTATTAATCGGTTTTATTTTATTATGTGAATTCATGTATTCGGGTCGTAAGTAGCCATCACGATCAAATGCAATGGCTGAATTATCATCCGTATTGTCAACGTCATCATCATCCACATTATAATTAACATTTAATGCCGCTGGATAAGTGGTTTGTTCGTAATCGTCATTCAAGTCACTAAATCGTTTAGTTCGTGTTCGTTTATTATTTGTATTGTCATTGTCTGCCGGTTGACGTGAGTATGGAAAATCATGTGATGGTAAAGATGGATACATATAAAAATCATTTTCATCGTCATCTTGTTGTGTTATGTATGGTTTTCGCGTTGTAGTTGAACTTGGTCCAAAGTAGCCGTTAAATGTATTAACAAGATTTGAAAATACCGAGCTCGGATTAAAGTAGCCAACATTTACGTTTTCATCATCATCATCATCATCATCATCGTCATCATCGTCATCGTCATTTTGGCCATAAGCCGGTCGAGTTGGTCGAGTCGGTGGTCGTGTTGCTCGTGTTGTTGGTTTTCGTTTTCGTGTCGTCGTTGTCTGTACCGTATAAAATGTCGTAAAATCATGCGGTCTATTTGTCGTTATCGAACCATAGCCTGTATCTAAGTATTCATCGTCATCGACATGATGAACAATAAATGTTGTTGTAAGTTTGTCCGGTGGTTTTGTTGAAAAGTCGTCCAAATAAATTGGTCCATAGTATGAACTTTGAGGTCGAACATTTTGTACATGATCGTCATCAAATTGTCCGTAGTTATTGTTAATTAGCGATGGTTTTGTGGCACTTGGCCGGTTTAAATAAGGATTATTGTCGTATTGTGGTTTAGTTTGATAGGGTTTTGAATTTTGAATCGTTGCTACAAAGTCATCGTTGTTACTGTTTGAACTACTACTTGAAGAATAATAACTTGTGTCTGTATTTTGTACCGATGGATATGAGTAAAATGGTTTATTATCATCTTCTTGTCCATATCCAAAAAATGGTTTCTTTGTCGTGTAATATGGTTTCGAAGTATATTCGTCATTTGTTTGTAAATTGTAAATGTATGGTCGTCTTGTAGTCGTCGTCATAGTTGTTGTCTTTGTTGTTGTACGTTTTAAAATCAGACCATTATAAACCGTATCGTATGTATCGTAATTATGTGTCGGTTTTTGTGGTTTTTGAATTTCATCTTGGACAGCCGTACCACCGTACTGGCCAACTGAAAATGACGGCTGCACAACTTGATAAAATTGTTGTGACGGTCGTTTGGTCGTTTTCTTGAAATCATTGTAATAAGTCTGTTGAACGTTCGTTGGTTGGTCACTTTCATTTGTTTGAACAACAATTTTTTCATGTTTCAATGGTTTTGGTTTTATCTTAATTTCAATGTCGTATGCATTTTGATCGGGCGTCACAATGACATATTCCTTATTTAAAACCTTCCGTGTATCGTCTTTGTTGTCAATACGTCGTTTGCTATTTAAACCATTAAACGGAGATTTCTCTGTACTAAAGTCTTCATTTGGTTTATTAATTTTTATAACAATCGAACTTCGTGCTTTTACAGTCGTATCGATGGTGTTGTTGTCGTGATTGTAATTAGTCACGTCTCGTTTGTGTTTTTTGTGTCGGTTTTGATTTTTGTTTTTACGTTTTTTTGTCCGTTTTATTGTCGGTCGTTTAGTCGTCATTGTCGTTGTCGTTGTCGTTTTTGGTTTTTTGTTCGTTTGAGTCTTTGGTCGTGTATTAATTTTGTTTGTTACTTCGTTTGTTAATCGATTTATAGTATTGCTATGGCTACGAGTGGTGTCTAGGTCAAGTTTATTATTAACAATTGTTCCGTTAACACTAAATGGTTCGTCTTGTTTTCGTATGTCGATTGTTGGATTTGATGATGCTTGAAAATCTACATTGATTATAATTTTGTCGTTTGTCGATTGAATGTGAAGTGGCTTTGGCAATTGGCCATCGAGTGAATCGTTGTTTGAGTTTTGAGTATTTTTTAAAAATGGATCTCGTTCCAACCACGGCTTGAGATCGATTGGTGTTAAGCTACCTGTACCGCACAGTTGTCGTTCATTTGTTGACACAGTGTGTGGCAAAAAAATGTGCGGTTGTAATGTGCCACTGTTAAGAGCACGGCATACAACTTGCGCCAATGTCACTTGTCGAATCGACTGCAGTTGGGCCGGTGTAAATGACGATTCAAAGTCACCATTTTCATACCAAAATCGATCACCTTTACGCAAATTACTAAACTGTTGGGCAATTATACAAGCGAACACCGGACCCACTAAACCACCAACTACAGGTCGTTCGGCCAAGCCACCCACAAATAAATCAATATCATCGATGCTTTTATATGCCAAACGCATGCGATGCGCTGATTTTGGTCCAACCACACGTTCCAAATCGTCCCAGTCTTTGATTGCTGTTAAACCGCATGGTTCACGCCAAGCCGTATATGACGGCAAACCATGATCTCGACCTCTTTGTATATTTATCGCTGCCAAGTCCAAACCAAATGGAAAAGCTACAAAAATCATCGACACAGGCATTGATTGAATGTAAGAAATTAAAAATAAAATGCCATTTAAACAGCAACACACTTACAACCAGATTGGAATAGATGATTTGTCAGTTCAACGGATATAAATTCGTCCCGTTTTTGAGCCCGTTGAATTGATAGACCTCTGAGTAGTCGATGTAATGAACCAGCACCGCCAATATCACCCTTAAAATTTTCTTCATGTAATGTCACATCTATCAGAAAACAAGTCACTTAAATACTTTGTTCATGGGATGAAGATAATTTTAGAAACGAAATGATTACGTACTATTGTCTAAAAATTCATGATTTCGTGTGCTTCTCATGTACGTGTTTTGAATGAGTGAATGCCCAAAACGGAACGCGGCTGCCGAAAATGAATTGGCCACCGTTGGATTCACACGTATGTCATATTCTTTATAATATCCATTATTTTGTAGTTCCAAATCGAATAGCTTGCACACTTCACGGCCCAATACCAAAGGCAAAAATTCACGATATGTTATGTGTTGCACCATTGCGCCAATAATGCGACGCGTTTCTTGATAAATTTTTTCATCACTCCAATGTAAATTTATATCGGCCAATTCACTTGCGATGCGATTGTGTTCCAGTACCCTGTAATTGAATGATGTCACAAATAATTTTATTATTCACCAAAAAAAACTATGTATGTATCACATACCAAGTATGATGCATAGCCAATAGACCAGGTTGTTCGCCACTTCTTAAATCACCCGCTCGTATGCATTGACTAGCCAATGCTCCACGTAGACAAAGATCATCCCTTGGTGGTCCTCTGCCATACAATAGCAAGCCATTTGTAAATAAACGTGATCGTTCTGAGCTACGTTCATTGCTCGAGTAAATTGTCGATGCATCCAAATATGAAGTGACCTGGTTGGTTTGTTCGCGCCACGACAGTAAACAGTCACGTCGTTGAGCTGGTGCCGATCGCAAAAATTCAAGGCAACGTATTCCAAGGGGTGCCAACCACGGATCATCGGAGGGTACTCTTATTGGGGCACACGATGGATGCAACTCATTAACACCACAACATTGGGGAACCGATCCATTCACTGATCTAAATGACGATAAAAGTACGAAATAATTTTTTTGGTTTGCCTTAGTTAAAACTAATAAACACCGAAAAAATGTATTACGAAAAATAAATTTAAAAAATTAACCGTTTTATTTACCTTGGTTGAAGTGTTGATGTTAAATCATGATCTATAAATTGTCCCCATTGTGCTAGCATTAATGTAACTCTTTCCTCGCTCTCTCTGGATCCGTGCACCAAAAGGCTGATAAATCTTGGCGACGGTAATGCACCGCCTAAAACTGATTTTCGTAATTCTTCGATACCGTCCGCATATTCGGGCGATTGAAAGCGATTGAATGGCATTTGAGCGGCTCCCCAGCGTCCTTTTCGTGCATTATTACACGAACCATCATGTGTTCGGTATCGTCGTGTGATTGGCGAACAAAACGGTGGATCCCGTGGTGTACAAAATGCCTCGAGAGATGTTCGACGTAATGAGATTTTCGGCGGGTTTTGACGACTTTTTTCCGAAAAATCTATATTGAGACTGTGAGTTGAACAGAAACCACAAAATTCTCGTTAGAAATATTCAATATCTTATTTTGGTAATAATTTTTTTTTACAACAACAATCAAAACAGAAAAAAAAAACTGCTTTAAACCAATCGTACAAAACATAAATCTAGACAACCACTGCAACAATCTATATTCGTTAAATATGCGTTTTTTTTGAATAACAATTGGTTCGCCTTTTTGTTGAAATTTAAAAATAAAAATAGTAACAAAACAGAAAAAAAAAACCGTTTCGACGTAAAAACTTGAAGGGATTGTTACTCGAAGGCGTTGGCGAAATTGTGTACAAAAACTCACTTTTCAATCGCTTTGTAACGAATCGAACCAGAACTGCCGTAAACTTCAGTTTTACTTTCGTTGTCGGCACGACCGCGGACTTTTCGTTCATTTTTCTTTGATTTGAACAACCGAATCGCAGACACACATCTGACTCAACTAACAGTTTAAAGCTGTTTAAAACGATATATTGTTTGCCACTGTTATTTATAAAGTATGGAGAAAGTGGAATCAACTAGCTTGGTTGTTAATAAAAAAAATATATATATATACACAAACAGATTCAATCGACCTTTGTATAATGCACACACTTCTTCAACCAGTGTGATATACACCACACACAATCCCGTATTATTGGCACAAAACGTGTACGAGTGGTGTATGAGCGGTGGGAGATGGAAGAAAATGAACAAGCAAACGAGTGAACAAGCCAGCCAAATAACAAAGTAGCCAGTTGAGCGTACGTAATTCATTCAGCAAATTGTTTCATCATTAAATAAAAAAAAACCACTAAAAACGTCCATTTGGCTATTGCAGGCCATTTTATCCATGTATGTTGTGTTCACCACACAAAATGCTTGCTACTTAGAAACCTTGCACTCAGCAAAATATTCTTCAATGGCCCCAAAAATACAATATCATTTTTAGCTACTTGAAGAATTCAAACAGAAAAATAATGAATGATGTACAGATGTAGTGTAGAAGCATAAAAGCAGATTAAATTTCGATTTTTATTGTTTTTGATGAAATTGAATAATTTAACTGAATAGTGAATCGCGCGCGCGCGCTGACTTTGAGTACAGCTGTTTTAATTTCAGCATGTGTACAAACAAAAACTCGTCTTTTCAAACTAAAGGAGAAAGTGTTTTCATCTTAATCGTCGTTGTCCCGCTATACTTTTTTTTCTTCATTCTTCTGTCTTTCTCTGCATTTTTGTTGTTGTTCATTTAAAATTGCTTTTATTTTCGGCACCAATGTCGTCATCATCAGTTGCCGTTGTTATTGCAGTAAAAGGGTTGTAAGTGTTATTGATCTGCCACCAGATTTATAGCCGCGTCATACGCGGTTTTATATATGCTGATTCTTTGCCATGAATAAATGATAAATTTATAAAATATGTAAGTACGGGTGAGTGTAGGCATACGGATTTTTGGTTGGGAACGTGTATCTTTTAACTCAACGAAATCAAAACACTTGATAAAACTTTCTCTGCGTGAAAAAAAAACCATATGTGATCAAGTCAATTTATCAAGCCCGCCTAATGTCTGTGTAAAAGAGTCATGAATATTTTGGTTTTTACAAAATAAAATTGTGTGTCCATAATTACGGTCTGGGTACGAAGAGCAACAGGTAGCAAGCACCTTTAATGATTCATTGGGAAAAAGCCAAAAACCCAAATGAAGCAATGCAAAAAAAAAATGAAAAGAGAAAGAAAAAAGTCTGCGCCATTTTAGTCACATTGTTTTTTTTCGTTTTTCATTTCGGGGAAATGTTGTTTCATCGATAATGTAATAATTCGAGAATGCGCACACGATGAATAACAACACCATTTGCTTCCCTCGTTGCTGATGATGACGATCATCATGATGATGATGGTTACAACCGTGGGAAATGAGGAAATAACATTACTAAAATCAAATGTCGAACATGAATATATAAAGTATTGTTTTACAATTCTCGAATAATGTTGTGTTTCTTTCGTCATTTATTGTGCCTATATAATTCCTTACATTGGATATTTTTTCGCTTTTCATTTCAGATATATATTATGCGTTATAGAAATATTTGTTTGTGGTTTCCGTGAGAAGTTGCACATTGAACGAGATATCGACAAGGAAACAAATTTACGTAAGCATCAGCATGTATGATGAATAATGAATATGCTTATAATTTGATTGTGAATTTTTTTAAAATTAAATATTATTGTTACATAGTCGAGAAATGCTCGAGCTTAATTGTAACTTTTTTTTTCTATTTTCTCAAAGGCAGCAGCCTTTGTTGAAGTTATTCGAATATGCTTCTTCTCATGAAAAATTTATCAACTACGATAGTCCTTTACTAAAGACAGTGCTCTCAAAATTATGAATTTTTTAAAATAATTTCGGTGCGTTGCAATCTCAAAGCGCAAAAATTCATCGAAAAAACGAAGAAAACCTCAATAAAAACCAACTAAAAAAATGGAATTGCACACCCATTACGCTCCAAATGGTTATCAGTAGGTTTGATCTAAATGGATTCCAAAATATTTGGCACAGAATTAATTTATTTGTATTAATTCATTTCGATTAAGTTTTATGTTCGAATGGATTCGAATGGTTTGTGCATGTATGAACTGACCATGAAATTGAGCACGATCGTCATTGAGGTGGAACAGTGGTATGCTTTACCATATTTATGTTTATGCTACTGCATTTACTGCATCCATTCTTTCAACGGAGTAAGAAATTCATCTTGTTTGAGCTGTTTAAGCGATTTTTTAATGTTCAATTTTGGTTTATTTTTGTGTTATCTTTCATTTCGATTGTGTGCGCACAGTGCACGTGTTATTATTTCAATTCAAATCATTTGAATTTTGAATAATGCATGACATGAAATCCATTCATAGATAATTTGACATCGTTCAACACAATAGACAATATCAAATATATCAAAAGACAATTTCCACATTATGGTCGACCACTATCAGTTTCAAAAGCACTTTCTTTTTATTCTGATTAAATTTAATTAAATGAGAAATCTGAGTTTGTGTTTCGAGCATTGCATGATGTGTTCTCAGTTGAGTGTGTGTGTTTCTGTGTGTGATGGGCAATCGGACGTGCGGTGAAAATGAACGCACATGCAATAACACAAACACATTGTTGTGCATTTAAAATCACTGTTTGTCAAATACCATTTATACATTGGGCTATAATTGCATGAGCTATCGACCAAAGAGATACAGATCACAATTAAAATATATGTAATGGAGACGAGTGTTTTGGTTAAACTGCAAACGAAGCTGATTAAAATCAGTGTATTTACGTACGTGTTGCATATAAAAAATTTCATTATTTCATTAAGTTTTTGTTGGTTTTCTTGTTTCTTTGAATTTATACATTTTTGCTATTGAAACTTATATCGTCACTCATTCTCTCTGTCTGTCCATTGCGCTGTCATTGGAAACGTAATTCCATCGAGGCAAAAATGAAAATGAATGTGCCGCAATGAGACACTCACCAATCAACCACTAGTTGTACGAAATAGTGTACAAACGAAGGAAAATACAGTAACAGCTGCTGCTGCTGTTGGTATTGTTGTGCTGTGTTGCACTTCATATTTTGTCTTTCGTAAAACACTTTCTCTAGATTATAAGTGCAATAGCATCGAGAGAGCCATCCATACCGATGTAATGTCATCTGACCTTACACTGGAATCGTGAACATTTCACTGGTGGTATTAAAATAGAAGAGACCCAGCTAAAAATATTATCAATACAGCAAACGACGATGGCGACAAACGATAACAACGAAAAACTTAGTGCTCAGCAACACTCAAAATGTGAATCGAAACCACAATCGAGAAAATGAAAATATTATTAAAAAAATAATAAAAACAACTTTCGCTTACCAAAGCGATTAATGCTGAGCAATAAGACAAACACATCAACATCAAGAAAGTGAATTAAATCGAACTGTGCGACCAATCAAAACAACCGATTCACACCGCAATGGTGAAATTTCCATTCCAGCAGACTGTCTTGGAACTCATGCCGTCAAAGTCACATCGATTGAATATTTCAATTTGATATAGAGGAATATTCGGGAGGAAACAAAATATAATAGAAAAAAAGAGATAGCCAGAGAAAATGTATTTACATTCAAAAACAATAATTAATTAATATTAATCTGAATTTTATCACTATTGAAAGAATTTCTCCGTTTCTTCGCACAAAATCACACAAAAGGCTTTATGTCGTTGTTATTTCAATTTGTTTGCTTTTGCTTCGTCGTCAAAACTTGATTTCATCGTAAACTTCAGCCGATTTTCGTTGATTTTTGTGTTCGTCTGTCGAACGGATGTTTTATATTATTATGTTAATTTTTAATATTTGCAAATTGACTTTAACTTGTGCATATTCCCTCGACGATGTGTGTTCCCTTTTTAACTCAATTGCCGCATATTTTCTTTCCATATAACGAAAGTTGAACAAACTGAGACAGAGCATCTACCGATACCGCATATGCCAATAGTTCAAAATCGAAATTCCAACAAAATTCATAAATAGACTTGCCCAAAGTGAATAATTGAATAAGATATCAACATTCGAATACATTTTTTTTTCGTTCGTTCAATATGTGATCTGCATTTAAAAGCAGATTAACAATAAAGTACTCAAACTTTGAAATTTGTCGGCTTTGTACCGAAAAAACTTCAACAATTTATGTGGGCAGAAAAAACAGTGACGACGAAGAAAAAAGAAGAAGGAAGAAGAAGAAAAAAAACTATCACGCATCAGCAGCTCCATTTCTTCCAAAGACCAAATTGAAAGAAACGAAGTGTTTAGGTCTAACGTTAATTTGATTGTTCACTCTTGAGAAAGTTTTCGGAAATTCGATCAGCTTTCCGAACCGACATACAAAATTACATGAGACCATATGAGAATGGTTGTTTCTTTTAGAAATTAGCAAAGATACTTTTTCTTATAGTTGAAAATAGTGGATCGAATTAGGAACTTTCGATTTTTTTTCTCTGCATCTATAGACTTATGCGCGAAAAAGAAATAACATCGATAGATCGATGAATTATCAAGCGAGACCAAATGAAGCATATACAGACAGAAAAATGGTATTCGCAAAATTGGGCGTATCAATGAAGAACTAAGTGAAAAGTGTTGCCTTAACAACGAAAAAATTTGGCATTTTCTGTTCGAATCCAAGCGTAATTGATGTGAAGTGTCGAAGATGTGAAAAGCAAAGGAATGTACATGAACCGCTTCGACTTCTCAGTTGACAAAAAACGAATACGTTTAATTTGCATGTTGTCAATACAAACAAAGCCAAAACAAAATCCAACGAGTTTACTTAACATTTCACCGCATTTCGTTCAATATACCCCGATTTTTTTTATCGATATTTTCTGCATGGGTACGCTGACGCGTGATATCATCGAAAAGTGTAAACCTATTGCGTTTAAATTATATATATTGAAATTTGTTGTACTTAAAGTTTGACTTGCAGTTTGTTGCGTTAAATTTGTGTTGTATAATTTCATGGTTCATAGTATCCGTAAGTTAATGTTTGTTTTGGCTTTGATTCGTACAATTTTGCTGCTTACATGCTTGTTTACCCCGCTTGCACACGATATTCGCACGCATTGATGAACCCGTACATAATCTTTTTGACTTCATGTCGATGTCGAATCGAAATAATCGTTAATTTGATGTAATGCCGATTACTATAATTTTATATTTAAATAATTTTTGCCTAGGTAAATCTATATTGACAGAGGAAATCGGTATGTTGTATGTGTGCAGACACTTATGGTGTGGCGTTTAAGTTTCATATTCAAATAAAATATCAAAGATACAATCAAAACCTCTTAACATGTGTGGTTTTTTTTCTTCTTTAGTTTTTGTGTTCATGCATTTGTATCTGATAATAGATTGAAGAGTTTTTGTATATGCGTGTACGCGAATAAAAAACATGTTGGGGCCCATGAAAATCGAAAGTAAGACAGTCCGCTAATTAGTCATAGTCTGCATAAAATATACATGTTTTATTATTCATTTCATGTGGCTTTGTGAACACCGAACATGAACCATTTTTTTTGTTTGCTGATCACACTACAGCTGGTGCCAATCGTATGGAATCTCATCTTTCAAAACTTTCGCTTTTGGCTTTGATTTCGATTTCATTTGCAGTGGCATGCACTTTGCCAAAAAAAACAAAATTGTTCGAGAATACTCTACATATATATGTGAAAACTTATTCTCATAATATAGAGAGAGCGAGAGAACTGTGAATATATTTCATGATTTTATGTATAAAACAGACAAGTGACTTTTTGATGTCAGAGCGTTAATTACTATTATATTTTTCGTTTCCATTAACGATGCGATTATTTCAATTGAAAGTGATATTTGATGGGAAAATAGTTTTTTTATTGTTTTACTTTTTCTTCGCAATGTAAAAGACAATGTAGTATACGAAGTTGAACGACCGAACCGGCTAAAGTAAATGATAATGTAATGTTTGGAAGCGCTTTCGATTTTCACCATTATTCAAAGCAAAATACATGTGAAAACGACGATTATCATGCAGAAATGAATAAATTCCAGTACTATATCAACGGCACTTACTTTCATACGACAATAATAGGTTTTGCTTTCACTCATTCATTCCCAAAATTAATGCAAATCTTCAAGCAAACAAACAAACAAATTCAATTCAAGCAAATATTCATAAGAGTCATAAAATGATTTAATGAAAACTTTTAGTCAACAATTCAAATGTTTGTAAACAAAAGTTTTTCTTTTTTTTTACATTTTCCAACGCCAACTTACCAAATAAATACGTAGGCCATTTCTTTTTAAACTCGTTATTGTACGCATGGTTAAGAGAAATGATTCAATTTGCGTAGTAAATGACTTGATTTTGTTGAATTTAGCTACTATGAGTGCAGTAATATGAGAAAAATAGACTCTATCAATTTTTTTTTATTCATTTGTATCGAATCTGTTCCCCTTGAAATTAATGCGGAAATGAATAATGTCACATTGTTATTTTGATTTCCAACAAATCATACCGTGGCGAATGCAATTTGATTTGGCTATTTTGTACGCAAAACATCCCATTACTTTGAGCGAAATTTCATTTAAATCTTTTTACTTTGTTTTGGGCTAAGCGAAACTATTATATTTTCGTTTTCTTTTGCATACAATTTATCATTGTTGACCAAAAAAGTGTTTGTCATAAAAGAAGAATGCGTACAAATACATTTGACACCTTTTTTGGCAATACAAAAATTCATTGGCATCATTTGCATTATTTGTGTACGTTTTTCATTTTGGCTCTTTGGAATGATCAAATGAGTCACCGACCAAGGGAGCAAAAAAGCCAAAAGAGAATGAGTAAATTAAATAAAGCGATGAGAAAAGAGAATGTGAACGGTTTCAATTTGCCATCCGATGACTTTCTATTTAATAGGACGGTTTTTAGTGGTGATGACGACAACGGTGATGATGACAATAATAACTACTCTCTCATGCTGCAACTCATTTGAATAATCTATGGTTCAATTTCCGAAAACATTTCATTCAATTGGTTGTCTTTTGATCACACACTTCTGCGAAAATATTGGCATGAATAAAAAAAAATTACCGCTCTCATTGCCATTCGACAGATAATTGTAATTTTTCTATTGTCCATATTTGTAGTGATTTCAAAGTCAAACATGAAAAGCACTTTCAAACAAAAATGGTTACGGGCTTTTTGTGTGAACAAATTTCGCCGAGAAATCGTGTGCATCAATAACAAAACTAAATCATGAATGCACCGACAAATCAAGTTAACAGCAATGCTGTCAAGCAAAATCATTCATTTTAGTATTACTTTTGACAGTTTGGCTGATGTACGGTTAATTAGATAAAACAATAGGATAGTTATCTTCTCTCTCTATTACTTCCCTTTCTCTCTCTCTCTCTCTCTCTCTCTCTCTCTCTCTTTCCTACGAAGTGCAAGAATTTCACATCTGTTTTTGTTACCAATTGTTGAATGGTTTGTGACCATAGGTGTAATTGCTATTCATTTTTTTTTTCTACTCGTTTGTCATCTTCATTCCATTTTGATTAATAATACATTGAAAGTGATAGTTTTCTAATTCCATTTTTAATGCATATTTTTTCGGTTTCATTTCCATGTTGGTTTTTGCTTTCAATTCATTCACATCTTGTCATATATCATGTCGAAAAAATTAACCGACGCAAAATCGTTGGGTTGGTTTAATGACTTTCACTTTGAGTTTTTTTTTGCTGGCTTTGGTATTTTTTGTTCTTCACATTTCCCGAACTCAATACGACCTTATATTTCAATAACATATTTTCACCTGAAAGAGTATACCTGCTTGTCAAGATCACTTACATTTTACTCATTCATTACCAATTGGTTAACAAATGGTTTCGATTTCGTTTCTTTAATTTACACCGGAATTAATTTCGACCAGCGATCGAATTTGAAAATACATTTTATAATAATTTCCAAACAATAAAGAAAGCGATATGTTGTGCATGAAATGTTTCTTACTTGTTTTTGAGCTTTTTAGCGGCATAAAGAGCTGCGTATGCTATTCGGGAACTATTCTGAGCCTCATCTGAAATAGGTGAACTGAATTCGGATAATTTTGTTGCGGGATGATCGGATGGTAGAAATAAGCCTGAAAATAGTATAAATAAACAAACTAAAACACTATTTCACTGGCGTTTTTAATCATACACACCTTTTTGAAGAAGAGTCGGTTCTTTTTTATCATACAGTTCAACCATAGCCTCTAAACCTTGTCGAGCTGCAACTCGTAGAGCAGTTCTCAGTAGATTTGATTTTTTACCATATCGTTCTGTTGTCGATTCATTGTTATCATTGTTATTTGAATTGAATTCACTTTTGATGGGTGTTGGTAATTCATTTATCGGAATTTGATCATTGTTATGAATGGAATGATTTAAATTGGTGCTGTATATATCGGTTGGAATGGATGTCGTGGTTGCATTTAATGCAGTATTATCTCTCCGTGTATTATTGATTTGTGAGTGGTTGGCGTCAGTTGAATTGTTATTGATGAATTGATGCGGCCATGTGTGACTATCGCGTTGGGTATGATTATCATTATCATTAAGGTTGGATTCCGAAATAGATGAATTTTCTCTTGATGAATCGTTGTAATGTGTTGTTGTTGTTGTCGTTGTTGTTATTGTGGAAATGTCTTGAACTGTTGATGAATTTTTTATCTCTTTGGTTTGTTCGCATGTGATTGATAATATTAAAACTAGAAGAATATTTGTAAATAAGCCACTCCTGAAAGAAAAAAAAAAATGATGAAAACAAAAAATAAATTACACATCAGCATTAAAATGTCAAGTTGATTTGGATAATAGTATCAATAAAGAAGAATAGGGTCATTGAAAATGACAACTTATGCTCCACATATTGAAATGGGCATGACGAAAAACATGAATTTTTTGCTTTAATTTTGCATATATTCAAATGACATTTTCAGGGTATTGGGTCGATATAAAAACAATCAAACACACTTTATAGAAATTGCGATTTCTATCCAAATCATGCATAAAAATAAAATTTATTGATGCGACGCGTTTTCGAAATTTAGTTCGTGTTTTAAATGTTATATTGGTCTTAATTTTTTTTTTTTTGTTTTCGTTTTCAATGTGAATTTAAATATGAAAAGAAAATCACACTGCGAGGTAAAAATGCCAATGGAAGCGCACACAGACCACATGTGAATATATTTATTATGTACACGTTCGCATTACCATTAGTTAAGCCATGTTATTATCATTGCTTGATGATTTGGTTATTGTTTACGGACCTAATGCGACATATTACATCAGAGAGTCGATGTCAATGCGAGTCATGCGATGCGCGATATAAACACCGACTTTGTGATTTTTTTTTCTTTGCATTAAATGATTGACAAAATTCTCTTTCTCACTTGCTCGCGGTTTTTCACTCTATGTTTATTGTTATTATTGCCTAGATATTGAATATATTTATATGATCGTCAACGGATGATGAATAATAATTTTGATTGTGCTTATGTAAATCATGGCATAGTTGGCCGACATACATATTGTGCCAAACACTCTTTTGACCATCATATATCATTGGTTCATCATCAAATGCTTAAGAGGTTGTAAATGGCGAATTGAAAAACAAACATATATAAAAAAATTACAAGAAAATAAGTCAGGCTCATATGAGAATTGTGTACTATGTTACAAAATGCTCTGAAGATTATTTTTTTAAACTGTGAACACTGTGAACATAATTTTTCATGCATCCAAACGCATCAAACAAAAATTACTGTTCAATAATTCAATCTATAAAACGAGTGAATTTGTGCAGTTGGTTTATCGCCAATCAAAGTACGCAATAAATGTGAATGCAAACAAATCTAATATCGATTACAAATTGGTAACGTATTCGGGAAATGTGGTTGAACATTTCTTTCTTCACGTTCATTGCATGCGAAATTATAAACAAAGTAATTAAAACTAAACGTATTGCGCACATTCTAAATATGAAAAAAAAAGAGCTTGAGGCGATATCGAAAATTAGCACATGAATTGATTTCGTCAAATTTAATTGAAGTTACGCTCTCTATATATAATAATATATGCACCTTTTCCAAATTGCATACGGTACGTGAGTGCACGTGAATTAGAAATTTTACGTTGCTAAACCTCATCACAATTAATTGCGCTGTCCGTGTAATTCGAGAAATAGTAAGCATTTTGAAATTGATGTCAACGAAAATTGCTGGCATTCTCAGTTCGCTTAATAAGTTCATTCCGAATAATTAGTGGTGCTACGATGGTAAGAATTAATGCACGAATGCAGACAAATGCAATATGAAAACGAATAAACATGCCAGCTCATAAATTTATTATTAAATTTACTTTTCGTTTCATGTAACACACATCTTATGCATCTTGTGGGCCATTGAATGTTTCTATCAACACTGTCAGAATTATTATGTCGTCGCCGATACTGTGAAAACGACAAAATCTGAGATGGACTTTTTCAATCGAGATTATTTTTAGCGGAGTTAAAGTGAAGTCAGTGTTTTCACAAAAATCTGAAACATTCAATGGAAATGGAATTTTAAATACAATAGCCTCCAATTGATTGCTAACTCGAGTGCTCATTCCATCATCACTACGTACAGCAATCTTGAGAACTGTTTAATGAAAGTGTTATAGTTTTGAAATGTCCGATTTCAAATATAAATTGCATTGTTTGCCGTCTTTGGTTAAATAAAAAGTTTCTTTTGAAATCCAGACAAAATTTAGGCGAGCGTAAAAAAAGCGTGTAAAATAGTCAACTCATTCGATGACATTGTATATGCCGAGCCCCAAGACAGAGCACGCACATTCTGTATAATCGTTTTTTTTTTCTGCCATTTGTCAAATCTCATAAAAAACGATTGTAATTCTGCATCGGTCGGTTCGCATGTATTTTCTAAATTATGAAATATATGTATTATTAACAATGCGATAACTAGGTTCTTCATTCCATTTCCAAAGTGCACCATTACAATTAGATTGCTTTCTTCACATATTTTATTTGTTTCAGCATTTCATGTGCGCATTAAGCATAAAAGCTCATCGAGACGTAAATGATTTGTTTTTCTATTTGTCTTTCAACAATATTTCGAAGCAGTAAATAAACGAAATGAAATATTAACAAGTAAAAAGCAATCCAATCAACTCAATAATAACTATAACATTAGAATTCACTGGCCAATTTGTTGTTTCATACACACGTACAAATTCTTTCTCGCTGGACGATTTTGTTTAATTTTACCACATTGTTATATTAGTTTTGCTGCTTTTTCCTATCTCTCTCTCCCTCTCTCTTTCTCTCTTTCAATCACACTTTACATTTTCTCTGTGCGCTTTGCAATAAAAAATATATTAATTTCAAAATTGTTTTGATTATTTACTTTCTGTTAAATAACTTGGTTTGCTGTGCTCAATAATATTGCAATGGATTGACCATCGCATAAAATGGCTAATTTGATTTTGATTATGTCTACTGTTTAGAGCTTTCGCTTTAGATTAAGAATTGAAAGTTGTTATTTTGTTTTGTTTTTTAACGTTTGCCATAATTTGTGGTTCAATACACATTGAAAATTACCATCGTAATGGGTCCATCTCAATAGTTTTTTTTTGCTGCGCAATATTTCAATTCCTTTCATTTCTCCATTCTCTCTTCACTTTTCGCTATATTCAAAGAATTATGGTCACGTCGAAAAGAAAATCATAGTTCACATTGTGAACGCGGCTTGACTTTTTGCCTCGTGGCACACGAAGTCGCTTTTGAAATCAATTATCGCAACATCCGTTTTAAAGTGTTAACGCTTTGCATAAGACACAAATTTTATCGGTTTTCAGTCAATCACCTCACATTATCACATATACGAATTTAACGATCAAAAAACATTAACAACCAATAAAAAAAAACGATCAAAATCATTTAAATGCAATGTAAAGCATCACATGTGACATTCATATACATGGCACAGAAAAACCACACATTCATACATTGATGTGAAATTATTAAGAAACGCTAATGATTCGAAAGTTTTTTGCAATGAGTAATTACATTTGCATATTTCTTGATATGGATTTTCTATTGGTGGTTATTGGATTGAATGGTAAAGCAAAATTGTGGCACCGCATTTTGTGATTTTCAGAGGAAAAAGCATCTGAAAAGCCAAACCGCTGTCATTCACAAGTTGTTATCTTGATCACAATTCACAAATTATGGCCTTGTCGCAAAAAAAACTATGTGTCACAATAACGAAATTAAATGAAATGAAAAGAAAAAAAAACTATCAAAGATTCACAAATATCACAAAAACAACTTCAGTCAAACTAATGATGAATCGAGAAAAAAATACACTCGGTTGCATTTACATCATTCAACAACAGTTCAATTGATGAAAAAAAAATCAAATTTTACAAAAAAAACTACACATTTTCATAAAAAAAAACATACATTTTTAGATCAGTAGTGCATATTTAAGAACGAATAATAAACCATATGGAACACATTTGACAAGAAAAATCGCGAATTAAAAGAACCGTAATCACTTCCAAAAAAAAAAAATGTTGAGCAAAAATTCTCAGCTTGAGATTGATAAACTCGTTTAAAAGACTCGTTGTGTAATGTGTACGTTTTATTTTATTTTATTTTTTGTGACAGTTTTGTTTTCTCTTTAACTGTTTTAATCATCATTTCTTATGGTATCTCTAATTGAAACGCGCGCGTTTGAATCTGTCTTGATCTAAGTAATAACTGATATGGAGATATCGCATCTCCGAACAGATTTTAAATGCGGCATGTTAGCATTTCTGTCTTTCTCTAGAATCATTTTTTCCCGTTCGTATTAATTCATCGCTTACAAAAAAAAACGCGACACATAACCGGATGAGACCAATGTGAAATGGCCATAGTGAAAAAAATAATAATAATAATAATATCAAGTGTGAGCGCAAAAAGAAAGAAAAAGCGGCGACACAACAAAATGGTCAGAGAATGTTGTCGATGTCAGATGAAAAACCAATCGAAGCACGTACATGACCATCGACTTTGATCTTGAATACACCAAAACCTAAATAAAAATACATCATGCCAAACATGCATATGTGAAACATGTACGAAATACATACAATGTAGAGAAAAAGTGAAACGAACGCCGTATTTTCAGAACAAATATTCATAATGATTTCGATTTGAAGATTTATCGTTTTGACATTTGCTCGGACTATTTAAATTAACGAATATGAATTATGACCAACCGACAGCGCCAACAAAAGGTACACATTAACCTGAAACAAACATGTCGAATTTGATTTCGAAAATAAGAGAGCCACAGATTATCTACATTGAATGTGATGAGATGAGTGTAAGTGTACAAGAGTCAAGTCTTTTACTTCAGTTCACTTAACCAAAAACACTTCAAACTTGTGAAATTTCTGACGTAGGCAAAATTGTGTGTTTAGAAATTGATCCAAAATATGAACGGCATCGAGAGTCACCGCTCGGCCACTCAATTAATACTTTCATTTCGTTTTGAAATTATTAAAAACCGCCGTGGATTCTTTTTTTAAAAAAAAAAGAATCGACGATGCAGATGAGATTGCTTAAAATCTTCAACACGAAATGGCTAATAATGTTCGCATTTTGAATTGATGGCCAAAAATTCTGCTCACATTTCATTTTATTCACCGAGTCCTTTCACATTTTTCGTGTTCAACAGTTAGATTTGGCATTTAATACCAGGAAAAAAGGTGTTTGTGTGGGTAAATAAAAGTCTTGTTTTAATCAGAATTTAAACATCATGGGAAATGGCGGCTTCAAAACTCAAAAATCATTCACACCCTGCGATGAATGCTAAAATATATTGCTCAATGCCTTTGCAACTTTTAAAGCGCATTCACTCGTCCTTTTTCTACATAATAATTTCTATATTATTATATGCTTCGAGATGGTCTTGTTAAGAAAACAAGAACCAAACAGCTAAAAAAGAGGCAACATCACGCAATTTCTGTCACGTTGTGAATAAATAATCAAAAGCAAGAAGTTAATTAACAAAATTAAGGGCACATAATCGACCCGCGTAAAGTCACACTCTATCTGTCTCTTTCTCTTCTCTCAACCATATACGCACTCACACAAATACGCACTCTCCGAACGGACATGATTTTGAAAAAAGAAAAACGCTACGTTGCTATCTTGTTACTCTCCCAAAAAATCCCCTTCTCACCAACTCTGTTCGACACACTATGCATTTGGTTAATGCATATCGGACCGAGCTGTTGATGAGCTCGAAAGTGGGCAGAGCATATACTGAGCATAGATATATATCCGGTATATTTTGTAAGTATCCGATATTTATCGCAGCCAGACATTATAATGGAGTGAAAACAATAGAAGTGATTGTTATAGGTCTAAGTATAAAACCATTTACATAACTACAATCACTATAACAATAACTTCTATTGTTTTTACTCTATTTCAAAGTCTGGCTCCAATGAATATCGGATACTGACAAAATATCCAGGATATATATCTATGCTTAGTATATGCTCTGAAAGTGGGTGCAAAAATGTTCATTGCTTTACGAATCTTCCGTTAATTCTATGCAAATTAGTATCTGTTTGAGATGAGAAAACGCATTATTGCTTTCGGTCGCCATAATGCGTTGGTTGATAGTGATATGCGCGATTTTATGTACACAAAAAAAAAAACGAAAACTCAAAAGTTGCATGCATCTTAGTGGATTTTTTTTGGATAGACGTCTATAAAATATTATTTAATGTTACGATCCATAAATTTTAATACCGTGATATGTATGATATTTAGTTATACGCGGTTTTCGTAACATCAAATGTTTTAAAACAAATACATTTAAAGATGATGAGTTAAAAACCTGAAAATCATTGTCGTCGACCAGCTCGGGCAGCGCTATTCTTTTCAGCCTGTTCCTTTTCTCTGAGTTCATTGATGGCACCCACCGTACCAAACATAACTTTTGCTGCAAAAGAGAAGTGGACATACATATTGAGAGTTAAAACAAAACTACATCCAAAGAAATGAGTGTAAAACAGAAAAAAAAAATAATAATATTGAATTGGCAAAGAGAAAAGAAGTAAATGCTTTCATATATGTGCAAGTGCATATATGTACGTAAAGCTTGCCAATGTGTATTGAATGACTGATGCTTTGCAAATTACCTGTTGCAATTGTTGCACTGGTTGTACCAGCCGCTACTGATGATGGCTGAGACAACGACGTGGACGATGATGACGACAACGAATTCGATATTTTTGCACTTGACGAATCGTTTTTGGCATTGGTTTTATTCCCATAGGCTGTGTACGGTGTATAATTGTTATTAACATCCCGACCACAGTTACGGCATTGATTCGACATTGTAGCTGAATAAAATTGTCTATGTGTTGATCAGCTCTTTTAATGATAACGAATGGATAGGCGATTTAAAAAAAAAAAGAAAAGATTAACAGTGTCTGTGGCTAATACACCAGGATAGATAAATGAGTTAAAATGTATAATTTCTCCGGAAATCGGACACATTCACAAAAAAAAGTAAGAAACTCAATTAAAAAAAAGCTTTTCGGCTATTACACGCTGGATAAGCCACAAAAACACAGCAGTAGTAGCAACAGTCTGTCAAAGACACTAACACAAGAACAACGAAAAAAAAAACACTCTGAACTCACTGGTTTGCTCAAGATTCGTTTTTGGACTTGACCGCACGATTTTTTAATTACACTGTCATTGATGGCGGTTTCGTGTTTTTATAGCGTTTTCATGCACACAATTTGTTTGCGTTGTTGGCGGTCAATATTAAGAAACAATGTTTTCTTCTTTTAAATAAAACAAATAAAAAATAAATAAATGCCCAAACAATTTGTGGCGATTTGATTTTTGATTCTGACACAACGTTTTCTCACTCTCTTTTGCATTTGTTTGGTGAAGATTTTCGATTTCTAATCACATAATCGTCTGAATGTGCACGTAATCAATTTGCGTACATTAAATGAGATTTTGTCGTAAAAATCGCCAATCATGCGATTAAACAAACTCAGTTGATGCCCCAAAATAGGTCATTTCAATGTACGCTTGTTGTACGTTTTTATCACACGATTGACGCAATTAATGTTTGATGCAAAAGATGGAAAAAATCTTGTTGTTCAGCTACACCAAGAAGGCATAGATATCGAAATTTAAAAAACAAAAAATCACTAGAAATATTTTCACTATGAATCGGATACAGTTTTTTTTCTTCTTTCTCGATTCTTTTGTTTAGTGCAGTCGAATCGTCTTCAGCATGTACATTAACAACTCAGCTCAAGCAATAAAAACATCAATCGAAAATGATGAAAGATACACACCACCAATTCCAATATCTATGATTTTTCGAATGCGATTTTTCGTTTGTCTCTCCCTTTTTTGAACAATTATCATAACACACACAATTTTCTGGCACGTCATTAAATTTAAACAGCATCACCAGCGTTTTAACAATTGTATAACGGATTCCTTATATCTTTTTTTTTTGTTGTTGATGTTTTGTTGTTGTTTGTAGTTGTTTCTGTTGCGTTGTCGTCAAACTATCCACATCTAAATAAAATGGCTTAACACTCAACTCAATTCAACAACACATCATACACCGTTCTATACATTCAATTTGTTGGATTCAAATTCATTGGCGGAGACATAACAGCACCACACAACAACCAAAAAATACTAATAAAGAAATGAGTGTATATTGAAAAAAAAGAAGAAGAAAAAAAAAACAACATAAAAAAACACACAAACTATACGTGTAGTATGTTTTAATACGTCAAACAAAACCCATCAAAAATATATATTCACAAAAGTTGATTCACCTTTTTACACGGATTAAAATCTACTATAAATGTGTACCAGTGCTTCAGTCTGTTCACTTGACTTACATTTTACAATCGCATGAGAGTTTATTTTGGTGTTGACGATGTTCACATGTATTGGCTGCACGGCGCGATATGTTGATATGTGGTGAGAGTAAGGCCGAAAGACGGTACTTGTGTGGTAAAAAAAATATAAACGAAAGAGATAGAAAGATAGAGAGTGAGAGAAACACACACATAGAGAGAGAGAGAGGGAGAGAATAAACCAAGTGAGCCGACGAATACATTCGACGTAGCAGACACGTTTGTGTCGATGATGGTACTTTCTGATAATGTTCGCGCAATTTAAATCGTTTTCGAATCTTCAAACAACAAAAAAATTCCAGCAAACGGCTTAAGAGCCGAACTTTACCAAACACACGAAATCTATTATTATTACAATGAAAAGAACGCACATATAGAAAAAAAGTCGGAAATTTTCACATTTCTAGTACCAAAATGTTAAACAATATACAAAGAATGTGATTTTGTGTGAGGCATAATACGATATATATTCTTTAAACATTCGTTGTAAATTATTCAGATTTGGGTCAGCAGCAATAAAAACAGTCGCCATTAATACATTGACAAAAAAAATATACAGATGTGTCATAGATTTGAATGTGCGAACGCGCGACTCTTTACAACCGACATTTAATAGTTTCTCTGCGCTTGTAAAGCAAATCGATTCAACCGCAAAATCGTGGCTGCTTCTTTGGTTTGCTACTTTTCTTTGCTTCTTCAATGAAAACTCATTGTCTATGAGCGAGATAGAAAGAGATTGAGACAGTATACACACACAATCTATTCCTAATGAGCTGTTTTCCGCATCGACACGATTATTACCTACAATTACGCCAATGCTAACAATTTAAATTCTTTACGCCAACAGTTCATTCAAAAGAGCCTATTCGCGTTATTAAAAGCACAACAAAGCAGCAGCTATAGCTGATCACACCAATCGAACAAACACTTCATTATTCATTTTGTCATTTAATGATCGTTGTGCATTTTCTTGCAATAATATTGCGATCATCTAGATCGCTGCTGACAATATCGATGTTTAGTTTCTTATTTTTCTCGTTCTTTCACTTCTGATCTTTCTCTTTGGATCGGTGCATACCAAAAAAAAAGAAGATCAACGCAGAAGTGAGTACGTGGATGGGGCCCAAAATACATTCGTTCTATGGACATATTTACATTCTTTATGGCACTTCAGTTACCAACATACTAGTTCCTTGATTTGTATAAATGTAAGTACACTCTTTTTTTGTACTTAAATATGTTGCTATTTCATTCTGCTTCTAGAAAATCTACTTCTTTTCATTTCTTCTTATTTTTCATTTGTTTTTTCTTCATCACTTCGTTTCTCTTTGTATGTAGACGCCGTGGAGTGACGTGCCAGTGCGTTAGTGTGCTAAAGAAACTGAAGAGTTGCCGAACCAGAATGTGAAGAATAGAATTATAATGTAAAGAGAGAGACCTACTTGCACAGATCTGAGATCCAGAAGTGTGTCAGTCAGACATATCGATATAAATATTTATCCGGTTTTTGTTGTTGTTGTTGTTGCTGCTGTTTCTTGTGGCTGCATCATTCTTCTTCGTTTGTTTTGTTCGTTGTATTGGGAAAAGACGCACATAAGCATAGGTATAATACTGATGCATTTAAATATATCCGCATTCATAGTCATGCACACGGTAATAGTCTATTTTTTGACTACCATAACAATTCGATATATATATGGTCGATTTTCGTTCATTTTTCTATGAAATTGTACACATTTTTGTATAGGTGTGCTATGAATTTACATGAACTCTCATTTGTCTGCTTTTATTACTGCAGACAATTGATCTTTGGACTAAAACCAAAAATCAATTAAATGTGCTGTCCGATTTTTCGTTTCATTTTGACAAAATTCATTCGATTGACCTGATCATTTGAAGTTTTGCTAGCAGATTGATTTTTGAACTTAGTTCCCGGAATATACTATACATAAACTTTTTAGGTCAATAACGTTTGTCGTGTTTACACGAAATTACTGTCAATTTCGTGAAATCATTTTATTTTTGCTGCTTATGGAAAGGAAATGTTCTTAATTCGAGGCAATAAGAGAAAGGAGAATAAGAATAAGATGAAGAAAGGAAACAAACGAAGGAAAGTTTTATTGTAACCAAAAAGCATCCAAATTGCGTTAATTGTTTTTGTCATTATTGGTCTGGTTTTTTTCTTTCACTATTGTCACGACAAATAACAATTGACAAAAACAAGCTTTGGCTTCTCAATGGTTGAAAAATTTCAACCAGCGCATGGCGAAATTCGAATTAAATGGAAGCAAAATGAGATCTGCATGCGTACGTGTGTATGTGAATGTGCTTGAAAAATTGAAAAATGTTATGCACTCTTCGATTCAATGTGATATGCGCATCCATGAAAATGTCGAGCAAAACAACATAATGCTCTCTCTCTCTCTCTGGTCACGATTAAAACATTGGCAATTTATTTAAAACGGAAAGAACGTGCATCAACATTGGTTTAATTAAAAATCAATCACACGACAATGTCCAAAATAAAAACATTTTACATCAAATTGGACATACACACTCTGAAAACGTGATTGTTACAACGACGGTTATTGGAAGGTTTAACTATTTTCTATCGTGAAAACCATTGAAAATTTGGAATATTTTTTTGTCCATTAAAAATTGCAATTTATACTAATGATATCATTCCATGAGGAAATACAATTACCAACTACTATTTTTGAATGACTATATGCTTCCAATTTTATAAATGAATGAGAACTCATCAAACTCGTGAATGTGTAAACTATTTTGGATCAAATACATTTGAATTTAATAGCGTGTAAAATATTTAATAAAAAAAGCAACATATGTGAACATATAATTGGTTTTTGTGAAAAAAGTTGCCCTGCAATTTTTAAGACGTCGCAATAACATAAGCATAATCCATGTCAAAGTAACATGAAACTACAAAAAAAAATATTTGATTCATTTTGGCGAAAACATGGTTAGTATAATTTTTTATGCATTCCTGCATTTCATCACGAAAAAATCCAACGAAAGAGTGACTAAATTGTTAAAAATATAAACGCTGAAATAAGAAACGATACGTTCAAGCATAAAGAATTTCATCTCTTCTTATCAGAAAATTGGTCGTTTATAAGCGAGTTTTTCTATTCAATTCTCATGTTTTTTTTTATAACATGATAATAAAATACATTATCGCTACAAAAATAAAACCATTTTCTTCACCAAGACCGTGTGCATGGAGAATCAACAT